CAAAAACTTAAAAAAAAAAAAAGATACCAGTGAAATATGCTGTGGAAGCTTGGGAACCCTCAAATGCCTAGATGCTCTTTTGCCTTCTTTGTACAGCACATACTGTTTTGTTTTCAGTTCTTGCTAGTATTTTACTAATGTGTTTTTAGGGGAAAACTCTCTGAATGACCAATAATAAACAAATGTAATAATGTAATCCTCCTTGATCTGGAGGGATTAGCAGTAGCAGACCTCACTTCAGAAAGTTGATGTTTATAGTCTGTAAGAGTTCATTGTGACATGTTTCTTAGCAGTGGAATACATTTTGGTTCCTAAGCTTTGTTGGTGTTTAAACTACTGCAAGACTTGACACTGACTCATTTTGTATGTGTATGAGAAAGCGTGGTAGTTTTAATGCGGTAATGTCAATTCTATGTAATTCTGCATGTACAGAAAACACCATCTGCAGTAAATTCTTATTTATACTGTTGTTTTACAATACAGAAATAGATGGTAAAATCTGAAGTTAGTCGTGTTATACAAATGATCGAAACAGATTTAGAATTGAGGCATGTAGTTAAAATTGGCTTAGGTAGCTATTACATACCTAGCAGTGAAAGAACGGAGTAGGAACACATTTGCAGTCCCTGGTGATGTCTCTGTTTTGTGGGATGCCAGTGTTTGCAGCCAGGTTCCTGCCTCTGGTTTTCAAGTAAGAGGCAAGAACAACTGGTCTTACCAGTTTAAGACCCCATAATATTTTTTGAAAATGTGGTATTACACTTTAGCAGGTTTCCACCAGAAATCCAGTGAAGGTCTGTCTTTTCTTTAGGATGACTCTTTTGTGTTGGTGGCTCTATTTTAGGTGTCACAGTAACGATGAAAGCGCTTTACAAAGGTGTGAGGATATCATGTAGTTTTAGGTGTATCTCATAGTGTAGTGTATTAAGCTGTGTAACTAGCTTCTGTTTTGATTTTCTGACGTACAGTAGTACATTTTTAGGTGGTAAGTGATTTTTAGTTACTTCAATTTTTTTTTTTTTTTTCCCAGTGTGTTTACTAAAACCTATCTTAGTGGAGCACTTGGAAAATATATCTGTTGTCTCCCAGAGCTCATTTGACAAAAGTCAGGACATTTCTTTTTCAGACTTCTTGGAGTGAGTTGTTAACACTGCATGGTCATCTCAGATTATGCTGCACTCTGGGAGTGAATTTCATTGTTGCTATACAATATGTTTAGTCCTGTGAAATGAAGGTCTTGGAGTTTGTGTGCATAGGCGTCTTCTAAATTTCTTTGTTCCGCGTCCCTGTTGGAGGATGTACGCTAATTGCACGCTTTCACTTGACAGATGATATTATGAATAGCGTTTATCTATCCCACCTCCTGCTTTTGATTAGCTTCTGATGCTCTGTTAACAGTGAACCAGCTTTAACTTGATGTCTTCATGTAGAGTCTACATTTAACAAATGATGTGCAGGCAAGGGAGTTTGACAGAACTGGTGAATTTGGTAGGTTGCTCTATTGCTGTTATTACTAACTCATAACAATGTGGAGAGCTTGGATTTATTAAATGTTGTACACCTGAATTCCTATTGCTCTAACACTTGAGGTTTTATTAGCATTGCAGCTTTTCCCTTTCATCTAGGCTTGATCTAATATTATTTTGAAGTGAGGTTGTACTAGATATTTATACAGACAACCTAAACAATATTTTCTAAATATTTTAAAATCCAAACCAATACGCATAATTGGCCAAAGTGTGGGTTGCTTGCGTTTTTTTTTTTAATTATTTTTTACTCTTTTGCTCTTTTCCTAAAGTAGCTGAGTGGCAACAAAGTTAGTTTAGAAGTCAGGTAACTAATTGCAATTGTGAACTTCTATCTTTTCAAAATTAAAAGGCTGATGTTTACTATTTTAGTGATGCATTTCGTGGTTTCCCTATTGAATTAGGCTACTAAATGTGTCACATGAAAATAATTTCTGGTTTAAGTTAGTCCAGTGACTGGAATTAGTGAATTGATACAGTCAATACAAAATAAATAAGTCTGTTTTCCTGCTGTTTCATCACTTGCACCTTCTGCAATTTGAACTGCAAGTTTAAGTATCACACTATATAGTTTTAAAAGACAGCCTTTGTGAAGAGGCTTGAAATATAGTTCCACAGTTAGATCTAAAATTGGTTTGATTTCTCTTTTCCCCAAAACAACTTTATTTGGTGTTTCTGACTAACCTTTCCTACTACCTACACTTTCTAAACAAGCCCTTGGAAAACACTGGTGTGCATTTCCTCAATATACTTCTCTCATTTCTTACGTTTTTTCCTTTGCATCTTTTGAACAGTGAAACATATGCAGTCTTCAGAATTCAGAATTGCATACTTGATGGATGCATTGAAAATCTGAACATTCAAGCAGATATCTGGTGGTGTTCATGCTTGATTTTTATGCAACTGTTATAGCCTTAGGTTTTTGAGGAGAAAGTAAGACTTGGTGTGAGCAAAGACTTTGGTGGGGTTTTAAGAATATAAGCTTCTTGGAAGACTTGGACTACTCTATGGCTGAAAAGTCTCCCACAATCACAGATACTAAGAGGTGTCTGGAAGGATGTAAAATCGCATGTTTTGTACTTCACCTGACAAGTGCTCTGAGGTTATTTTAAGCTCAGAACTGAGAATCACCCCCCCGCCTCCCAGAAACCTCAGTAAATTTGTCCGTGCCTTAAAGATAAACACTTGGGCTACAAAATAGAAGTTTTGATTTTCTAATGAGATAAACCTATTTCTCCTATTCCCTTGAGTAGAACGTTTCTTATAATACTGAAAGACTACAATATAGTAGACATAAAATTTACGAATTATGTAGAAATATTTAATTTTTACTCTTTTAAGAAAACATGAAACTATAATAATTGCAATTTGCTTTCAAAGTGCCTTTACAGTGCTGATTAAGTAATCTTATATCTTAAATATTTCATGTAAAAATGGGATGGTGAAGCTACAGAGTATTAACTAAAAACTAAAGATTCTTACCAGCAATAACTGACACATACAGTTCATGCTTATTAATTACAAACTACAGTATTAGAAGCTCACTGGGGATTACTAGCCTCTTTCATGAATTATTTTTGTATTTTCTTTCATATGTTTCATTAAAATAGCTTTTTTTTTTTTAAGGCAATGTTCAATCTTTGATGCTTTTCTCAGTTTTTCTGCAATATCTCACTTAAGGGTAATTTTGAGTTTAGTCTGTTTTTGGAGTCTAATGGTATTAAGAACCGGTTCTGTTCATGTGTCTCAATCTGTCAACATTAAGTGTGGCATTCAAAAATAATATGTATACTTCCTCCTCTCCCACACCCAAGTTAATGAAAAGCTCATTGATGCTTCTGAGAGCAGAAGTTTTAACTGTGGAAGTTATTTAAGTGTCTGTTCATGCTTTCCATCAGTGTACATACCCCTGACTTGGAAAGCATCATACACGAAGTTCAGTCTCTGTTCCTGTTAAACTGTGATGTTCTCTGCTCAGATACAGTTGTGGTAGCCTTTCCAATGCCAGGCATTACTTACTTTCGAGGCTGTAACAATCTATTTAAAAAAAAAGGGGGGGGGGGGGGGGAAGGAAGAGAGAGTAAACAAAATTCTGATTTTACATCTTAACAGTATAGATGACAAAGCTTACCCCACCATGCTTCATATCTGCAGGGTTTTTTTGAAAAGGAACATATGTATGACACTTCAGATCTAGTTTCAAGCTGTGGTCTTTGAAAATGGAGGTGGTATGTTATTCAGACATGCTAAGTAATTAAAACTCAATATTTTGATGCTGGTTTTCATCCTATTACTTTTTACTACCTTATATAAAGTTCATATAATGTTGATTCCATGTTTCATTGGGAGAGGTATTTCCAGTAGCAGGTAAGGATAAATGCTACTGTAAAAGATCCTGGTTAAGAGCTAGTGCAGAACACAACTCTGGTTGCCTGCATTTAAGATAACAAAGTGAAACAGGGACAGAGTGAGTGGCTATTCACGATTAGGAGCCTCTCGTATGAGAGAATACCAGAAAAGCTTGTCTTGTTTCTTTTAGCAGAATAAAAGGTGGGAAGGGTCTGTTTGCTGTCTTCAAAGACTTTCAGAGAGGAAGGAAACATCCGGGTAGAAATAACTGTTTTAAGCTAAAGGACAGTGTTGCTGTAAATAAATGTAGATATCTGTGGCATTCAGATTTTTAAAGAACTTTGCTATTTGAGCGCTGGGAACTGGTTTTAACTGTAACTACTCAGAAGTAACCATTTCTGAAAAGGGCTGCCTGATGTCCAGTGTATGTTACTGCAGTGGCCCAGACTCAACACCCAGCAAATCTTTGTATTCCTGTGTTGACGATCATCCTGTCTCATTAGAAACTTCCTTTTCTACTTGCTGTTATGCATGTTGTGTCTAGTCATTAGGTGATTTTCCCCTCTTCTACTAGACCAGACAGTTAGGAAAAAATAAGCAGTACTCGTAGTTGAACCTTTGGATATATATCAGTCAACTTAAAATCAGCTCTTCATTGTGGAAAATGAAAGAAAGATTTGATGGGTAAGTTCTTATTAATCAGCTTCCTTTACTCAAAATAATTGTGGAGAAAATACCAAGTGAACAGTAGCTGAGCCAGATCATGTCTTGGTCTTATGACCTAATGCCATATAACCTCAGGCTGCAAGCTTCTGGGATTTAGCAAGCTGCACAGGGTCAATCAAGCCCAAGATGAGACCTCTCAAGGGAAAGTGCAGGTGCTGCAGGAAGTGGTGTTCGTGAGTCAGTGCCATCCTCTTCCTGTCGACTCTCATTCCAAGTGAAGCTGGATGTAGCAATTTCTGTGCACTATTGGATCTTACGAATTGAAAATAAATATGTAAATGCATGCTAACTGAATGGAAAAGTAAATTTTGGTCACACATTAAAACCATGCCTAGTATTTTGTGGGGTTTTTTCCCCTCAATATTTACAGTCTTTTTTTTCTTTTATTTACAGATGATGCCAAACACTTAGTACCCAACAAAATGAGAGACTTTTTCTGTACCATAAACTTGGACCAAGAAGAAGTTTTTCGTACACAGGTAGTTGAAAAATCTTTAAGGTAAGCGTAACTTTTAAATGGAGGTGATAAGCAAGACTGCCTCAGTTCAGCATAGCAGTTCAGCATATAAACAAGATCTGTATCAATGTGCATGTGCTTTTGCTTATACCTCTTTAAAATGAGAGCTGACTTGTGGGAGCTATTCAGAAATGTTACAGTACTGTGTAAATCGTGAGAGTAATTGAAAGTAGACAAAATCAAGGCTTGTGAGTAGAACAGTGCTTTTAAAATGAAACATGCTAAAACATATTTCACTTACTTTATTCTGTTCCACTGGGCAGCATAACATTATTTCCCTTGAAAACAACCTGGCAAGAAAAAGAACTCTGCCTGATTATGCTCTCCATGTCATTTCCTACTTTTGACGTGCAGTTGGTCTGTATTGGTGGAATTTTGCTTTTAGTATCTGTCTTGTAAAACCTGTTTCTAGAGTGAGGAAACTGGAACTTTTCCATGTATAAGAGTTTTGTGTGCTGTGAGATGTCCCCCTGAATAGGCCTCGTTCTCTCCTGAAGTTCTTGCTTTGGGAACTATAACCTGTACTCACGCAGAATGGCTTCCTTTGCCTCCCTGAGCAGCACTTAGCTGTAGGTTCTGCTATGGTCTTAGAGCCTTAAAGCAATCAAACAAAATAGCCATGGTAACATAGCTGCAGTAGTGTGGGTGCTTTTATGTCTCAGAACTCTTGATGACCCGTACTAAAGTATTGCTGCAGCTGCATTTTTCAGAATATCTGAGTGACAGTTTATCTGGAGGAGACACTAAACTGTCTTCGTAAAACCCAGAAAGCTTGTTCAAACTCTTGAAAATTTTCCTAATTCTTCTTGTTTCCAGTGGTTTTATTGTTAGTGTTTGTTGTTTGAGCCATCTCTCTAGGTGTTTCAAAGTGAGGAAGAGCATACTGCTCATATGGCAAATTTAAATACGGAATTTTACTTTTTCAAAACATAATCATTTTAAGGCCTTATGCTTCTGCATGAAGAGCAAACACCACATACATGCAATCAGGAACAAATATTTTGCTCATCCTCCTGATGTGCAACTGCTATAGTCAGATCCAGAAAATTTTTGGAATTTAACTGGCTGCAATTGAGATTGAAGAATTACTCAGTTGAGTTTGTTTTGGTAATCAGAGAATAATGTTAAAGAGACTGTACTGATAAAGCAGAAACTGAAAATTTTTCCTTCAAATAGAGTGGTTTGATGGGTAAGAGGAACTCAATGTATCTTTTAAAAAGAAAGACTTTGCTGTCTGATTTTTGACATGTTAATAATTGAAACCCTCAAAGTTACTACTATGTTTAGAATCAAGACGCGTTACAATTAATGTTTATGCAGACATTTTTATTGTATTCTGTTTAAGAATTTGTATACTTTATATACTTTATATTTAAATGTATACGCTTTAATCACTTGATAATAAAAGAAGTATTAAATGTATAAAATACATTAGGAAGTATTAACTGATAAAAGATATTGCCTTAGATCCGTGAAAAATTTTTAAATAGTACTGAAGTTTTAAGTGAAACTTGATTAAATGAAAACAGTGCCATTAGTACTTTACAGAGGAAAGGAAGAAAAATCTCACTATAACAAAACAACAATTTGGGGAGTCTTGAGTAACACACGCCTCTCCTCCTCAAATTGAGAATTTTTCAGGTGATATGAAATTAATATTTCTAGGTTGAGAACATTTTATTAGGAGTTAAGGTCAGTATTCCGAGTCACTCTTTGCCCCAGGTGCCTTTCTGTCTCCACTGACTCCATAGGGAACTCTGAATTGTGGCTGCATTGAGTTAGATTCAAAGCATGAGTAGGGTTCCATACAAACTGATGAAATGTAATGAAATAAGTCATCCTCAATTAGCAGCAACGAGAGTTGGATGCTTACACTTGATTACTAGTGTGTATGCAGTTATGAAGGCTGACACTTGTTCCAGAAACTTAATTATGCCGTCTTGTTGCTTATTACTGTGTTAAGCTAGAATACCGTACTAACCTAGAGGTAGTGGAAGGGAAGATGAAAGCTCTGATCTCTTATTAGTCTGAAAACTTTATAAATTGTTTTGCAGTAAGGTGTAGTACAGTATAATTTTAGTCATAAATACAGCTTTAAATTTAATTGTTTTGTATTATTTGCTTGCTTTTTCTTACCCATGTAATTCACAGTCTGTTTTTGTCACCATATTCTGGGTTGCAAATTCGTACTGCTTGTAATCTAAATGGTGTTCTATGAAAATCCGCTAGTTAAACATCTGTGGAAGTAATTATGACGGGAATTAAAATGATCTTTGACTACAGTGATTGAAAACTAATGAAGAAATGTATTTTTAAAATGTGCAAATAGGTTTGGGCTTCCACCAGCACTGGGACTATTGTTAGAGTGCAGATGTGAAGCAAATGACTTTTCAAAGTTAGAAAAACATGAACTAATACTGAAGTGAAGGAAGGATATTTTGACTAATGGTTCAAGAAATATTTCCTGACACGGTATGGAATTTCTGCGGGTTCTGAAGAAAGCAATTTTTTTTCCCTTGGAAAGAACATCCATGAGCCTCCTCAGATAGCTGTGGTCAAATATGAGGAATTGGGATGGGGAGGTGTTATAGGGGTGTTGCTTTTTTTTTTTTTTTTTTAATTTCAACTAAATTAAGTTTCTTTTTTTCAAACTGAACTTTGTGTGAATGCAAGGTTATAGCAAAAATTAATTCTCTTGTTGATATAATTGTTGCTTTTATCAAATGACAGATCTAGGGGCATTAGTTAGTTTCTGTCATAGAACTGCCTGTTCAATGTAACAGGGAAAGGAAGAGCAAAGGACTATGTCACACATTTAAATTTAATCTCCTGTATTACTGTAATCCAGTCCTTCCTGTATGACAGTCTGGTCTTCCTTTGAATTAGCACTATCTTCTAATTTTGTATCCGTCACAGTCTTTAAAGTTCTTGCATCAAAGTCACAAATGAGAGTATTAAACTGACTGAATCCCTGAGGAACAGGTTTAGTAAGTTCTCCATTTTAATTATTCCTCATTAGTATAATCTATTGTACCCCTTCAGCCAGTTCTGTGTCTACCTAAAGAATTTCTTTTCTAATCCTTTGTATTCTCCACCTTAAATTTTTTCTCTGTGCCTCATACTTTTCTAAAGAATAATCAACAACTGATTCATAAGGCAGTGGTGGTAATCTAGGTAAGGAAAATATATCAACGTGAGTAAACCAATGCATTACCTTCTATTTATGCTTATACTATTGACCTGCTCTTTCCTGCCAAATCTGAGACCTCATGTAATGTTGAGGTCAAAATAATGTTAGTGGCTGATCATTCTTTGGGGGGAGATACAGTTGTGAAGGTGGCTCTCTTTAGCCATAGGATATGGCTGCTAAATAGGTTTTTGGTGGTCTCTGCTTATAGTCTCCATCCCAGACTAATAATTTGATTATAATTGGATGCATAGAGTTACATAGATCCAGCGAGAATAGGGATTTAATGCTTAGTGATACACAGTTGTACATTGTGGCCTACTGTTCCTCTTAGGATGTCTGACTGAAGCTGAGTTAGTAGCAGTTTCCCTTGATACCGGTGCCAGCTAGTTCACCCACTGTTCACTCTTTCAGCTGTAATATCTCTTTGTTTGTACTGGTGCAACTATCATTTGTGTAGCTATTAGGGGAGCCATAGCATGGAATTGACCCAAGTTTAAAATAAAATGAGCAGCTAAGATAATAAGGAAATTGAGGCTGCTTAGGGCTGCACTGCTGCTAAAGGTAATTCTCATGAATTTATACATTTAGTGGTTGTGCTGACAAGAACCTAGCCCTTGAAATCAAAGCCAAATTTGTTGGTTTTGAAATTTGAAAACAAAAAAGTGGGAAGCTGAAAAACTGCAAGCAAATTTTTCGACTGAGAATTCTTAAATTATTTCTCAGTGTAATGCAAAGGCTAATATTGATTTGTCTACTTTGGGGCCAATAGTAAAAGATTTATGTTTGAACAAAAGGAACATTTTCACCTGTGAAATTCCTCGTAATGGATTTCTGCAGTTCAAGCTCTTGTTCCTAAAAATCAGTTCTAGAAATTTGGAATGTGAGGGGTTTTTCACCAATTCCCCCACACACACACACTTTTCAAGTTAGTTATCAGCTCTTCTCTTATTTTTAACTTAATGAAGCATTGGTCCTTTAGCATTTGGTGTTTGCTTTTTTCTGTAAATATTTTAAAGGGAAGATATCCTATTCTTCCTGATATTCTTTTGGGTAGTAATACTATGAACTGATTGTTCCAAACACAAGTATATTTGTATTAGTTTAGTGAAGTATTGTAGCAATACAGTGTCAAAAAGGTACTTTACTGTGAAACAGAAAACACCACCAAACCCAAAACTGGCTGGGTTTGGTATAACTGTCATCACAGTACTTTTCTGTAGAAAGAAAGCAGAGGCTAAAATTAGTTTTGTGAAGCTGCACACCTTTCCTGGCGATGTTAGTATGTTGTAATTGAAAGTATTGCAAATCTGTAAGAATCCAGTAGTTCCAAAATAGCAGGGTTGGGGTTTTTTTTGTGGATGCACTTGATTTTCAGAATTCACAACTTGCAGTGACACAAATAACATTGTGGTTTTGTTCAGTCTTTTTTTTTTTCTATTTTTTAAAACAACCATAAGGCATTTTCAAAGTCTTAACTCTCAGTGTTAACTGCATGTTCTTGTAATGAAGTGGTTGTGGATGGCTTTGATGATAGATAAGTATAGTGCGAAAGGCCAAGGTCTGTGACTGCAGTAAAAATGTAGCATTTCAGTGTTTGTCTTCTGTGTAAATTACATAAAATGTTTTTCTATCTTAACTTTCAGTTTTTCTTTTCAGCCCTTACTTTGGGGAAGAGTTTTTCTTCGAGATTCCAAGAACATTCCAGTGGCTGTCCTTCTACATTTATGATAAAAGTGTTTTACAGAAAGACCTGCGTATAGGTAAGTTCTGGGATACCATCTACATCTTGCATAACACTTGGTTATTTTTCAGTATTGTTATCTGTAGTATTAAGGATATAATTACTAAAGTGACACATTTTTCAAAACACAGTATATAGTGTACTTAAATGTTCCTTTTAAGTCTGAAAAGCAGGATTTCTTCCCGTGCTTTATTATACTAAAATATGTTTATTTTTTAGGCCAATAGGATATCTTACAGTTGTATGGTCTCAATAAATTTTTTTAAAATTCTACTTGTTTTTTCTCCGCTTCCATTTCATTGGAATACTTGAATAATTGTCACTCCTTGTAGGTCTTTAAAGAATGAATTGTGGAATAATTCCACAATAATTGCAATTGCGGAATAATTCTTAAAATTATTTATAGATTTTTTTTTTTTCTCTGTCAGTGCAACCTGTAATTTAAAATTTGCTGCAAAATCCTTTATGTAGCTTAGGTGAAAAATTACAGGATGTGGATTTCTGCCCTCTCCCTCCCCTCCTGCATAATGGCTCTGTTGCAGCTGCTCTTTGGATATAGTTGCTATAGAGTTCTAACAGTCTGCTGTGGAAGAAAGCTTCACGTTACTTGAATTGAGGAAGGAAATAATTTGCACCAGGATGTCAGATAATTTGATATAATAACAGCTTTCCAAATAGCAATCAGAAGAGTAAAAGGGCATCTACCTTCATTTTCTTCAACACTGTTACTGTTCTTTCAAATCTTTGTGATGTTATTTCCAGCCACAAGTGTGTTCTTTATTTTAACTAATCTTGTTATTAGTGATACCCAAGATAATACATCATAATTAACTTAATTGGGCTTTATCTAAACTATTTTTCTGCTTTAGTTATGTTTCATGTTCCTTGTTTCCATAAGCTTTTCATATAGCATCATGAGTTTTAAAAAAACCTGAGAGAAAGTGAGTTTAAATAGATTTGAAGTTTGATTTTTGTTTGGTTTTTTTTTTTTTAAATATTTGTCTTATTTGGATGAAAGTGATATTTATAATTCTCTCTCCCTGCTCCCCCCCCCCCCCCAGGAAAGGTGTCAATCAAAAAAGAAGATTTATGCAACTACACAGGAAAAGAGAATTGGTTTATGCTTCAACCTGTTGATTCTAATTCAGAGGTTCAGGTAACTTATTAAATCGCACATTTACATTTTTTTAAATTAAATATAGATAAGTGGATGTAGTGGTAGAAGTTTATATTGAGCTATGGCAGATAGAGGTTAGCATATGTCTAATTCTTGTGAGACAGTTGTGGCTTTCAGCTTGATTAGAGAATAGTGCATATTCTACATTTCTAAACGAGCTGTAGTGTTCCTCATGATACTTAAAACTGACAGAAGACTTGAAGCAACTGTTTGGGATATGTCTTAACAGTATTTTGCTGTCTAAAATCTTTAGCATAAGAGGAGCTATGTACTTGAGACACGTGAGTGATCTAGGAAACTACTCAACAACAAAACTGACTTTAAAAAAATGGTTATCTGAAATGATGACCAATTACGTGCCATGAAATGGTTAAAGTCTCAAAAACTGGAGGTACTTGTGCTGTGCTCATTTATTGTATTTTGAAATAGTTTCTGCATTCAGTATCAAGTAACTTTCACTTTGGAGTTGTGTTTTGGTCTGTGGTTCAAGTTCTTCTAACAAGATTGTTCTAGTAATACGTAGAAGTCTTGGACTTGGCAGTGTTCGTATTTTTCTAGTAACTTGGAAGTCCTTCTGGGTAGGGAGAATCTTACCTACTTTTACAAGAGGTGGATGTGCACAGAATTCTCAAAAAAACCCATGTTATTTTCCAGGATTAATTAGCCATAAGCTGTAAGTTTAGCATGCAGCTGTTGGGTGTATAGGACTGCTTTATATGAAGACAGATTTTTCAAAAGAGGTGAATACTACTTTCTCTTATCTGTTGAAAATCTGTCCTCGTTCAGTTAGAATAGAATAGTTCATTTGGAAGGGACCTACAGATCATCTAGTTCGACTGCAAGTTGTCTCATTCTTCTTCCAATTCTTCCATCTAATCATTCTGAATATTCTACAAAGTCCTTTCCAAATAGAAACTGAAATTCAGTATCTGCTTTGACTTAAGTATTGTCTTGCTTGCTACGTTTTTTCTCAGTCATAAAAATGTATTAAATACTACTTTTTGTTATAATACTATATAAGTAAGTATGCAAATTCAATTATAATATTCCATTAATAGAATGTAGCAACTTCTTGCATATTGGAAATTGAAAAAAAAAATAAAATCCCATGGCTTTGTAGCTTACCATGGAATGTAAGCTCTTATCTATGGCTGGGACATGTAAAGCACTCTCCTGCATCATACTTCCATTGAAGGATGACCTTTCCTGCTAAGGTGTGTGCTCTTCACATTAATCTTGCATTGAGTTAGACCTTTTGGGTAGGTTTCTCCTCTGTCCTTCTTCCTTTTTCCATGAAATTAGTAAGAGCAGAGCTGACCAGTTCCTATCTGCCAGGTTTGGCTGAAATCTTACTGGTTCGGATGTGCCATACCGTACTGAAATGTATTCCTAGGAAATTGCCAGGATTACTGGTGGCTCATGGCAGAAAATAGCAGACTTTCACATAGTGTGTGTGCAGAAAAAACGCACAGATATTTCTAAAGCTAGATAACAGTTGGGGGCGGGGGGGGAGTTTTCAGCTGTGCTGCTGTTACGGCATCGTACATGTAGTTGACATTTTTTCCTTTAGTTCCCTTCCTGGGAGTATTTTCCAGAATGTATGATGGGGACAAGACAATAGGATGGCTTAGAACTATTTTGTATTCCTTGGCTATATGCAGCACACATTACAGTTTATCTGGTTTTGATACAGGCTAACTTTGGTATAACGAGCAGCTTGTATATCAGGTACATTAGTGGTGGAGGTGCATATTGAATATTGTGGTATACAGCTTGTAAATGTACGAAATCCACATTAGGTCACAAGTGCTTTGGTGCTGGCTGTCATCATCTTTACTAATAAGCATAGCTTGGGTTTTGTTTTTTCCTTTCCTTTACAGTTCCTCAGTTCTTATAGCCTATATGGGAAATTCTCAGCTCTACCTTGGTAGGACAAATTAAAGTATCACTGGAAGGCATTTGAGTTCGTTAATAACTTTGACAGTTTCTAGAAAGGCTTAAAAGTATATTAAATGAACATTTTGCCTCTTCTGGAATTACAGGGAATTAAAGTTGCTGATTTCAACAAAACTGAATTGAGGAGGTGAGGAAATAAACAGACCAGTCATTTTCTAAAACCATCTTACTTGTAATAAATTTAGGACTTCTCTAGGATCACGATCCACTCCTAATGCAGAAGCTGTAGACCTGTCATCTTCTATTCTGTTTCCACAGCTCTGTACTTATACGGGTAATCTGAAGTGGAGGTGATTAAAAGTTCAGCAGAGCAAAAGCATTATGTGCCTGAGTTAATACAAGTTTTTGGTGAAAGAAAGGTGATGAGTATTTCCTTTAAAGTCTGTATGGGAGGGGAGTGGCCTCTCCCCAGCCGTTGAAAGTGTGTAAAAATTACTTTGATTTTTAGAAGGCATCTGCTCTAAAACTTCACGTTTTCTAAAATGCAGATAGCCTCAGCATGCTAGTAAAATTGTTAGGATTGCTTGCCTTCCCCCTTGCTTTTTTTTTTCTTAAATCTTCATTTAGCTGGTTTGAAATGAGGTCATTGTTAAACATGTCCTTGATCTATGAATAACAACTCATAGCAAGAAACATTTTGTGGAGATTTGATCAATACTTGCAAAATACATTGATAAGGTCAAAATCTTTCATGCACTTCTGAGGTTTCTGAAGGTAATTTTAACAGTCACTGTTGTTTTTCTTATAATTATAAATCCTGTCTTTTTTTGGAGTAATGTACTCCTAATAGATTCCTCTGTTGATCATGTAGAATGTGTAAATTTGGAAAAAATGGAGATTGAGCCTCGAGCCATCTTGTAGATGACTCAGATGTCTAATCCTAGGAAAGGGGAAAGGTCTGGGTAGAGTAAACCTCACAGGGTTATCAGGGTTGAAAGGATATTCCTAGTACTGTGGAACTGTCGGGTATTGCATAGTGTGAGGGCCTCAGTGTGGTAGACAGTAAGATGTACCACATTGCAGGAATGTGGTATATTTTTGCTCTAATTTCATAGAATCATAGAATGGTTTGGATTGGAAGGGACCTTCTGGTCCAACCATCTGGTTCCAACCCCCCTGCCATGGGGGGTAATTTAAAATGGGAAAGCTGGGGAAAAAAAGCTGATGGAAGCTGATAGAACGTGTATCTGGTATGTAGAGATGTTTTTGCAATAAGCACACAAAATTAAAAATTGCAGGCTGTAAATGTGGGAATATTATGGAATTTGTGGAGTATTCTAGAGTCCCAGTTTTACTTTCCATATGCCACAGGGACTTCAGTTTACTAAAGATGCTTCTGAGTGGATAACCTGGGTTATTTTAGGTTTATTTATAGTGTTTTTTGGTGTTTTTTTGTTGGTGATGGTGTGGTGTTTTTTTAATTCAAGTTCTCTAACTTTTGGTTAGGAATTTTTTTCTTCTACTTAAATGTTGACATAGTGTGTATGGCATAAAGATGATCTTTCTTATTCTTACAAATTCAACAGTTCATTTGTGATATTTGTTCCATTGAGTTGGGGGAAGTGGAAGGAAGAGAACAGAGTTCATGAGAAATACTATAGAGTTTCTGTTGTTGAGGGAGGAACTGGAAAATAACTTAGTGTTTCTAACTATGTTTAAACCCTATCACCACCCTGAGTAACTTTCCCAAGCGTAGACTACCCTTCGGACGAAAGCCCATGCATCTCCGCTTGAATTTAAAATAGAGAAGTTTTTATGAAGAAAACTAACACTGTCAAAAGTTACTTTGTGGTAAACTTAGAACAGTAGTGTGGTTCTGTATATGGAATGTGGGTGCGGTTATATGAGTGCCTATTTGTGTAAATATTTAAAATACAGTTGCTAGCCCGCTTTCCACTTAAGAGCTTTAGAAAACTTGTATTTATTATAGATACTTGTAATATTTCATAGTGCGGCAATGATCAAAGTATCGAAACAGTGGGGGAAAAACTCACTTTAAATACAGTGTTAAAATGCAGTAGCAATTCTAAAACCAAAGCTGTTTAACTAAATTGTTTTTGTAGTTCTGGAGTTTATGTTGATGATTTGGAAACTCTGGTTTTGGCTCCTTTGTTACTATGTTGTCCCTGCCCATGGCAGGGGGGTTGGAATTAGATGAAGGTCCCTTCCAACCCAAACCATTCTGTGATTCTATGTGAATCTTGGCCACATAATCAACAGCGCCATCTTCCTCTGGTCAGTATTTAAAAATTGATTGTTGATCCATTTGTAAAGCTAAAATGGTGCATACCTGCCTCTGAACAACCCTGAGATCTAGAGATGAAAACTGTGTTCGCAAAGTGCACTGCTTATTAATTGTATAAGAATGGCTGATTTCTCTTTATGTTTTGATCTAAAAGCAATCTGTACAACCATGTTTAAAACCCAGTTGCATATTATGTCAAAACTTCTGATATAGATCTGCAGATCAGCCACTTCAGGAAACGATCACACTGCTCTGAATACACAAGACAACAAAAATGCACCCAAAACTCTTCGTATGTGTCAGGAAAATATTTACTTAGACCCATGTTACTGTAACCACTATGGTACTGAGTTATGAACAAACTACATCTATAGATAGTTCTCAGGAGCAGTAAACTTTCTATTTTACTCCCACTAATGAGTGTAGAACATGATTTTTTTTTAATTTTTATTTTTTTAAGCAAAAGGAAGATGTTTAGGCCATTCACAATATCTGCCAACTACAACTAGTTAAATCAGCTGTTACAATAAGTACTACTAATGTTCTCTTTTCATTTGTCATTCAAAACCTATGCCTTGTAAGGCTGTTGGCATGCTTCTCAGTTATCCTGTTTTTATCCCGTAAATCTATTTTAGTCATTGAGTTTCTCTGCTTGGCAAATATTTTTTTAACATACCTGTGTTCCTATGCGTATAGTAACAGTTTGCAAAACACTTGGCAAGCATCCCAAAATAGTTATGTTTAAAACTTCCTTATGAAAGAAACTTCACTTCTCCTCCCATGTGACGTACCGAGAGAGCAACACAGCCCTTGCCTCAGGGGATTTACAATAAAAACAATTCAGTTCGATGTCAAAACATAAGTGCTTTAGAAATGTGTGCAAGGTCAGCTAAGGGTTTTACTTCCATTTTAGTGTTGTACAGCAAACTTATAGTTCAAATTATAGCTTGCTTCATTTGCCACGCTTTAAAATTACCTCCCAGGTCCCTTCCCTGAGAGTCATAATTGTGGACAGAGCAGTGTCATCTGATGATCCATTTAGCAAATAGACAAATTCCAAGAATACTAAGGAGAATATGGTTTAGAGGAAAGACTGTGTCAGTGTCTGGTTATCTTAGATGTGAAAGCCAGCATGAATAGTCGGGCACTGAAAGGAGTAGCAGTATTGTTCAGGCAGTAGATGTTTGGAGCAAGGTTATAGTACCAAATTTTGGTTATCCCAAGGAAGTCACATATCATGGTTTGGAGTTTTTGGAGCCTTTTATTGAGAGGGTTAGAGTAGGCTGGCCCTTGCTGAGTTCTGAAGTTAATCCATGTTATATCTCTATTTATGGATTCTTTTTCTTAATACATCCTACCATATCAGAAAAAGAGGAGGAGGAAGCTAGGTCTAGCAATTATTGCCACCTTTTCCTCTCCTTTGGTTGTGTTTGCGGTTCCACGCATACGTTAGCAGACCTCATGAGATGGTTGAAAGCTGCACTGAGATGCATAATAAATTTCTAAATTACGTTCAGTCTGGCGGGATGGACAGGATCTTACAGCTGGATATTAAATGTTACCAGTTATGGCTATTGCATACTATTCTACTTTTCTAAATGTCCCTAACTGCCAGACATGTTAGAACTTTGTCCTGAAATGCTCATAAATTCACTGTTTGTTTGTTTAAGGGTTCATCCCATGCTTAGGATAAAAAAAGCTGAGAGGAACTTTTGCTCTTGGTACTTCCTCATGCTGAAAGATTTTTTTGGTATGTGTTATATCTGTGAAGTCTTGACCAATTTATGTGCTGTCTGCAGTTGAGGATAGTGCTTTGCTTATCATTGTCTCTCCAAGTTGAAATGCATTCATCGTACTCTACTTGCAGGATATGTGCTTTAGAATACATGTTTGCTTGAAGTGGATATATATCAGAATTACCTTAAATAGCTTCTAACTGTAAACTGTGTTCTAATTCCTACTTCTAAAATAAAGGCTTTTAAAATTACTTGTGTTTCTCTCTTGTTTTTTTCAGGGGAAAGTTCACCTTGAATTAAAACTGAATGAACTGATAACAGATAATGGATCTGTGTGCCAGCAACTAGTAGTACAGTAAGAAAATACATTAATCCTTGAATATTTAGTTGTGTGTTAAAACATGATGTGATTTGTCTTTCTTAATACTGAATGTCTGCACATCCTGGTACCAATAACACTTTTTTTTTTTCTTTTTATGACTTTCCTTGGAGCCTGCCTTGCTGAGGGAATGGGTGTATGCTTGGGAAACTCCTGCAGAAGTTTTTTGCAGCTGCTTATCTCTGTTGCTCCCAAAGCACTTGCTTTTACTGGGACTCAGCATGGCTATTTCATATCATTAGTTCAGTGTCTTGTAATTCCAATTGAGTTTAGTCTGGTGAGAAAGCCGGGAATGCTCGCTGTGGCTGACAGCCAGAACTTGCAGTACTGCTGCTACTGACGGAATTGAGCCGCTGGTGGTGTTGGGAACAGTGTGAAACTTTTTCAGTAGTAATATTTTAGTTTGATATGTGAAAGTCCACTTTTAGTTTTGGTTCAGAGTTACTTTCTCATGGCTAACCATGATAAGGAATGATTACAGAAGAATGAAGTTACAGGAGCTGCAATTCTGGACCAGCATTACATTGCCACATTTCTGTAAAATTTCTTAGCAACAATTTAAGGAGTTTTCACTACCAAACTTAATTTTGACTCTAAAGTGTAAAGACATTACAGCATGTCAAAGAGCCTCATAGAAACAATAAATTTTTGGTATATGTTATTTCAAAAAAAGACAAATTTCACCAATATTAAAGAAAAAGCACTGAATGAGACATACTGGAAGATACTAACCAGTCTGCACTCTTGTATTGTTACTCTTAGAGCTATGTTTGATAGTGATCCTCCTATGTGATGGCTTTGGGAGTCTAAGGTTACAGACGTTAGTCACAGAAGACCAAAATTCCACATGTACTGGTCATTCTGTTTCTTTTTATTCATTATTAAGCAACACATTCAAGGCCAGAAACTGAAAAGCAGCTAATGCAAATACAGCTATACAAAAATGTTTTGACACTTTCATAAGAAGTTTGTCTGATAAAGGCATACTCAATTGGTCTCTTTAGAAACTAATCCTGTCCTTTATTTTGGAAGAAGTCTGACAGCCTTCTATGTTACTTGCCTCTGGGACACTGTTTGCTTTCATTGAAGAGGCCAGTGGAAACCAATGACTTGCAGAGACTTAGTGAGATTGACAGCGTTCTCTTGTGACTCTTCTTTACATTCTCAGCACGAGTAACATTCAGGAGAACAAGCCAGTCTTACTGCAGTTTTTTATTTTTAGTGCTTCAGAAAGAAATAAAGGCTTTTCTGCACTTGTCTCCTAACAGGTTGTGGGATAGGCCATGTGAAGAAAAGGGTACAGACAAGGGGGTTATAAAGACTAAGATTAAAAACTCGAAAGGTAGTAAGATTCTTTAATTTTGCTTTCCAACATTGTTCATTAACTTGTATTTATTCAGAGTATGGTTTGGGGTTTTTTTTGTTTGGTGTTTGTTTTGTTTTGTTTTTGTTGTTTTTTAATCTTCTCTGACAATTTAGTATGAAAGAATGGGTTGTATTGTGAAACTGTGAGAGGAGAAAGTGGTGTGTGGTCTTCCGTTTGTCTCGTGTCTCGGTGACTTCGTGTTCAGATCAGCTCCAGGGAGCAGGGGGAGACCATTACACTGTCAATTTTGCTAATGTAATTTTCATTATGAAATTTAAATTACATTCTTTCTGTCTTAGTCAACTATCTAAAACAAGATGAGTAGTTTAGTTGGAGCAAGACCTAGCAAAATAATCTCTTTGCTATTCTGGTACTTGGTATGACAAGGGAAGCTAGTTCTGTGATAGAACTAAGCCAGTGAAACTGATAATGTTTTAATGGCTATTGTAAGCTGATAACTCAGGTAAGATATGGAAACTTGCTGTGCATCAGTGTGTATTTATAACTTGAAGATAGTTGTATAGTGGGTGGCAGCCTGGTTCATTGGGAGTCCTGCTGCTCTTACTTTTGTATCCCGCTTGCAGCACAGGGTAGTGTTAGAACAGCTTTTCCCCCATGGACTATTCGTCACAAAAATCTGGCTGGAGCTTTATTACTTTGTGTTTAATTCCCATCTTAACTTTCTGATAGATTGTTTTAAAATTTATTTTTTTATATATCTGTGCATTTTAGTCTAAGTTAAATTACTTTTTTAAAACATGTTTGGATTTTTCATATGATGAAGAAAAGTTGCTTTAGAAAGTTACTGTTGCAGATTGCAGTTTTGAGTAGGAAGTGGGTTAGTCACTGTGCCCTCTCTTAGGATCTCTTTATGACGGAGATAAATGATCAAAAGGAAGCCATGGTGTTCTCGTGGTTGCTGTACTCACCCACTGACTGCCATGTGGGAGAGGATTGTGCGTTAAACACTGCAGTATTACATCAGTACTTTTGTCTTCATCTGAGGTTATGAAACGCACTAGAGTTCCTTAAACTAAAAATGTTTAGTAGTATTTTATCCCACATGCTGATAGCCTTGAAATAATTGGCTGTATAAGTAAATTATTGTACATAAATAAATTTTTAGTTGTCCATGTGAGAGTATGAGAAATAAGAAACCTCTCACTGGATATAGTATTATAGAAATGTATGTGAGGGCATTTTTGAAACCATTTTGATCTTAAAGCATGAGGAACTTACAGAAAATACATGTGAGATTATTTAGTAGAACATTTAAACTCTTTAAAAGTCTGCTTATTTTGTAAATTTCTGAGGATAACTAGTAAGTGGTTCACTTATTGCTGTGTTTTGTTAGTCACCACCAGGCCCTGAGAAGTCATTGTATTAGTAACTCCTTTAAGAAAGCTGAAAGATAGAAAGTAGCAGAGCTGTGATTGAGTTAAAAAACAAAAACCAAACAAAACAAACAAAAGAATGGGTATATATGTATATTTCTGTCCCTGCTTTTACCGGATCTATCCAAAACTGAAGAAGTATTGGGCAAAGAAAAAAAATTTGTGGTAAAACTAATTCTTAAAATATGGGTTATAATACTTGCCTTTCAGAGCCATGTTTTACTTCATGTCCAAATTAATGGTCTCTCAATGTAATGAGACAGGGAAGCTTTTAAACCTTCACCAGCTAAATTTTTTGTAGGATAAGAGAATTCTAGATACTTGTACTGGCTTCTGTGGATAGGTAAGTTTCTAATGGATTTCCACCATGGATTCACTGAGAGTCCAGAAGTTCTACAAAGATGAAAAATAGTAGCTATGACTTTCACAATGCAAGGTTAAAGACAGTGTTAAATGCGCAGACGACAACAAGTAATTGAAGGGCTGTGATTCTGAGTGTTATCTGGAGTCCCTGGTCACCTTTTTGTTTGTGGCCGGACCAAAACGATAGGATTAGACCTGACTAGGAGATGGACTTATTTTGTTTCTGTAGACATGGTTGTAGAAGCTCTTTTTGCTGGTCTTCTAGATGGGTTTTATAATGAGGATTGATTTAAAAACTGAAGGTAATTCCAGTAGGAAGCGATTTTTAAAAGTTTGTTTTGAACAACAGAGAGCTGCTGTTGATGTTAGCCTCTTGTAGCTAATGTGGGAGGGAGGAAGGCTTCACTTCTCATGCGAGTATGTATAGTAAACCCAGGTTTTCCAAACCAGAAGTTGTTGGGAAAAGAACATGCGATTTTGGAAAGCTAAGTGTTCCTGCATCTGATGAAGACATGTATGGTCAGTTGTTGTATAATAAAACCAGGAATGCGATTCCTCGTGTTTCTTTCTTTTTGTCCTCTATCCCCCCACCCGCCCCCTTCTGGTCTGAATTTTAGTTTAGATCCTTATTAGTGCTCTATTCCCCAACTTTATGTAAGAGAAGTAAGCTTAATACTAATACATCGCAAACTATGTTTCTATCAGTGAAGCTGTGGACAGCAGTCAAAAACTGCTCGCTTCTTAAAAACTGGAAGTTTCCATCTTTTGCTCAAGTTGCAAAAAGTGGTCATGTACAAGATATGCCACAACTGACTGACTGATCTGGCCTTACCTGATGCCAGGGGGAAGAAAAAAAAGGGAAAAGCAGTGGCCAGTTTTCTTGAGGTGGTACTTTCTGAAGCCTGCAAGGGCTTTCAGATTGTATAAGCATTCTAAAAACATGAGGTTGAAATACTTTTTTTCCCTGGAGAAAATCAAATTAAGGTTTGCAATTGCTTATTTTATGTGAATGAAGCCCTCGCACTTTTTTTTGAAAAAAAAATACAAGCATAAAGTTAATCTTCCTTTGGTGCAGGGCTATCTTAGAGACCACTTACAGTGGGCTAAGCCTTGATTTTACACAATTTTTGTATTAATTGGAAACTGGCCGTTAAACGTCATGCAGATACACCCACAGACTGTTTCTTAATTAAAATTTTGTTTTGTCTCCAATTCTAGCTGTTTCCTTTTCTAATGTGTGAATGAGGAGGGGGAAAAGATAATGCAGTAGATTAAGTGCTGACTCAGTGTGGGCTCTTTTTTTTTTTTTTCTTTTTTTTTTTCCAAAACCACAATGGTATGTATAGTAGCACATTTCAAAAATACATGCTTGCAGCTCTCCTTCCTGGGAGTTTGTAAAAACAAGTTTGCGTGACCATTGTTTGCATATTTGCTGCTGCTGAAACAGATGATACTTCAAGAGTTTCTTGCCAAATTAGGCTATTGGGTGATAGTACTTGCCTTCTCTGTGTGTAGCGTGACTTCAACTCTGAAAGAAACAGTTCTGTCTGTACAATGCAAATGCTTGAAAGCCCAGAAGTGGCTTATTACAGCTAGATTTTTCTTGCACTTTCTTTTCTAAATAAATTATACACTATACTGTCTTAAATGGACCTGCCAGATTGTTACTGTCCTGTTTATACTTTGTCTGCCTGCATGAAGTCGTTCTAGGGAACATAATTTTTATGAAGTGTACAAATCCTAATGGCTGCAGTTATTTAGTTTCTGCACTTGGAGGACTTCAGTTGATTTGAATGGTGGAGGTAGAGTCCCTCAGTCATTGAGGGGGTTTATTGCAGGCTCTGTTTTTTAAGGACTTACTTCCATCTTATGAGCTGAATATATGCCACTTGTATCGGAAAGGCTCGTATTTCCTGTATGAAACTCCTCTTGCAGAACAAACTACTGAGATGTGAAGCAAGAATTAATGTAAACCGAAAGATGTCTTACACTGTACCGTAACTGATCAGTAGCCTGAGAAAAGAACAAAAGTCCTTCTGTTAGCTATTTCTTAGACTTTACGTAAAGATGTAATAGTTTAAAATGTAAAATAGAAGGCTTTTAAGTTCCTGTCTACTTGTTCAGACTCCACATATTTATACCTTTTGAATGAAAATTGTGCTGGCCTAGATAGATGAAACTGTCAGAGCGGAAATGTTCACCATATGGTGGAAATGTTTTTATTATGGCTGTCAGGATAGGTCAAAGTGTTTGGGGGGGTTTCTTTGTTATTTTTTGGTGGGTGGTTTTGTTTGTGGTTTCCCTGTTGTAGAAGATTGCAGTTGTAGCACTTTGCCTGATTCTTTGGGGAAGGGCAGTATTCCTGTGAGATTTGCTAGCTGGTAAACTTGTTGAGGTTGCACTTTTCCATTTCTGTTAAGTCTGCTCAAAGTGAGCCACTTCAAACATCTTCTTCAAAAACTTTTAAACAGGTTTATGGGAGGCTGTTTTAGTAGCTTAAAACTGTCTGCAATAATTCAGTCTCGTGTATTCAGTCCCTAGGGAGTAGCAGTCCAGTTTGATAGTGCTGAGTTGATTTAATGGCTTCCTACCCTTAATGGCTACTTGCCTTGCACTGCCTTAGGAGCTTGTGAGATCTGCACGACCAGGTTAGTTCTGGTTGCCAAACTGACTGAAAACTGGCTCAAAAGCTAAACAGCTTTCTGGAAGGTTAGTAAACAGAGTCACTGTAGGTGATAGATGCAAGGCAGGAGTGTAAGAGAAGGAGGAGGATCTGCCGTTTTGGTGCAGTGCAGTTGACTTAGCTGTGCTGTCGGGCAACGTGTCTGAAGCAGACTCTAGGCAGTGACCAGAGAGTTAAGGGATGGTTATGACTGGCTGGCTTAGAGTGAGAGATGGAAGGGGAGCAGGTGAGGTGAATTTGGAACAAATTCTTGGGCCTGATGGGTCTGACAAGGAGAGATTTGGGAATATTGGGGGGTTGATGGTCAGGGGCACTAGACTATTGTTTGGTTGTTGAGGTGTTGGAACAGGGTAGGCTATATCAGCTACGTAGTCCTTACTTGCTGGCAACAGAACTGTGACTTGGGCAGGAGATGAAAAGGGAACACTCGAACTGCCTACACAAGGAGACTGACTGGAGCATGAAATCAGTTTGAAGTGACAGATCTGTATGACGAATCCAGAGATTCTAGTTCTGCTGCAAGGCTGTGTAGTTGTCAGTAAAATGTTTTCCAACTTGCAGGAGATCACAAACAAGCCTTCTTTTAGTTTGCGTATGTTGCGGTCAAGCTGTAAGAAGACAGAGGAGGCCGGAACAAGCTGTTTCCATCACCAAAAGTAGGGCACTGTGATCAGTTTTTGTTTATATGATAATACACATTTTCCCACAGGATCATTATGTCAGGTATGCAGCTCATTCCTACAGTGGTCAGGGAAGGAGTGAGAAACTTTGTACGTAGGGAAAAATATGCTTTCTGTCGGACTTCTATCTGTTTGGTAGAGAAATCCAGGAGCTTAGGCTGTAGGAAGAGAAATGGTGGTGTTCTTGTTTCAGTAGTTGAATTCTCTCCAGATAAGTTTGACTTGGTCTGTTTGCTCTGAATTTCCTATGAGATTCAGGCTGAGGCTAATGTACAGGTACACTCAGCACTCATACCTGAAACCAAAAATCTCTGGGAGCTGCAGAGACAATATGTTTAGAGCTACAAAATGCATGATGGTCTGAAAGAATCAAATCCTAGCTGCCTCGAATCAGATACCACAAATGACTGAAAAACCGAGACACATCAATTCTGTTGCCACTCTTCTGTGTCACGTGTGTGTTGGAGGAGGAATCAATTAATGCTTATGAAACAACTGGATGTTTCAAGAACCCATTTAAATGGTGGGTTTGAAATCACTGTAGGGTTCATTGTAATTCAAAAATTAGTGAAATGCTGAATGCCACGTGCTTGAAAACTGGAAGAAAAATAACAAATGATTGTGCAGTGGTTCAGCACTAAATGTTCCCTGAACTGGCTAAGACAAAGGGACTTTTTTTGGGGGAAAATACCATCTGGTTTATAATGGTGCATACTCCAAAGAGGTTGGAGTTTTGAGGCAGCACAGGAGTGTTAGTGTCTGTTGTTTCCCCACTTGTGAGTGTTGGAGTTTGCAACTCTTGTTATTCTTTTAACACTGTTTTTCTACAGTACAGAAAGCATTTACTTAACAACACTGTGCAGCTACTGTTGTTGCTATGTAACTTTAACTTGATCTGCACAACTTAACATTCCACGTTATAGTATTAGAACATTTACTTGATTATTTATGTGAATGTAAAGCAGAAAAGCTTATTTTCTCCTTAAGTTACATATGTTTTGTATTGTATTCAAACTGGCTAATTATGGCAACCAAAACTTATTTGTGTTAATTTAGTTAAACTCCTGCAATATATTATTTAAAAATAAATTATTTTAAAAAGAGAGAACAGGAATGTAACATTTAGATTTCACTTGTCTTGTTTATGAAATTTTGTAATGTGCTGAATGTTTCTGACTTAATAAGTATTACAGGGTGTATAGCTACATTAGAGTATCATTTTCCTAGAAAGTATGGTTTCTACTGTAAATTTACAAACCTTTTTGCTTTGCTTTTGTTGTTCCAGCTGTTTTTAGTTAATACTCACATGTGGGCAGCATCTGAAGGCTAGTCAGCTTGCTGACCCAGCTCTGTTTGTAGTAGTGTTACTGCTGTGGTGACTCAAAAAAATTGCAGGCCTTCAGAAAAAGTCCAGAAAATGTGTCTCTGTCCCCATCAGCATTACTTTCTAACCATCCTGTCCTTTTTGGATCAGGAGTGGTGAACAGTGTGCCTATGTACCTGTTAAACACCGCCTTACAACTTACTGTACTAATTATGGAAGAAAACAGTATTTGTCAAAGGGCTGTATAACCATCATCACATACTATTGTGAAAAGAGTTTGAAAATAAACTTTGAACACTATTTCAAAGGTAAACTGATTTTCTCTTTGTGGCTGAATAGTATGGATGAATTCTAGACATGCTAGGACTATATACTTATAGTATATAGTTTTGCATGCTTAATGTTAAATAACATTTCAGAGTATGACTCTGCATTTCTCAGCTTAATCAACTCAGAATGTAGTTTAGCCGAAACAAAATATTGGAATCAATTTTAATGCCTTCCAAATGTAGTTACTGCCATGTGGATGAGGCCAAATAGCTTTTTGTGGGCTTTGAGAAATCAAATCTAAAAGTAGATGAGGTCTGTAGTTTCCCCAAACATAGCAGTTCATTTTACTTAGGATTTTGCCATGCATGTGTGATACCAGAATGTCTTTTATCAAAACAATTCCAAGAATTTTGTTCTCACAGAGCCCCATAAGTCTGACTGTACACTTGAGTATTGCCTTGTATTACCATCCAGAGATCTTTAGTTATGATCTATTTCATGTACATACTTTACATTGAACCAATGTATGTATTGGTGTGTAATACAGCAGAACTGAAAAAAAAATCTTTTTAAAAAGGATTGTTTGGGTGGGGTTTTGGGGGGGTTGGGTTTTTTTTAAGCCAAAGACATTGCATCACTGATCTATCGATTGCCTTTTCCTTGTAGCATAAAGGAGTGCCATGGGTTGCCTCTTATAAATGGACAGAATTGTGACCCTTACGCAACAGTCTCTCTTGTGGGGCCTTGCAGGTAACATTTTAGTATAAAATTAAGGAATTTAAAATGCTGTGATCTTAAACTGGAAAAGAAAATCATAGGTTTTAAGCAAAATCTTTAAATACAGAAAAATCTTAAAATGTTTTCTGTATGCATCACATATATTCCATTGTTACTGTACTCTCCCCTTCCCTACTATACTCTCAAGATTATGAAGGCATTTGGTCTGTCTGAATGGCCTGCACTAGGCAGGAACCACTTGTGACTCAGTTCTTTCTTTCTTGTCAGGTTTTGTACTGGACTCTTGATATCTTTACTGTACTTCCTATTAATTTTTGTCAAATTCCTGTGTGGGATGGTATAGTCAATTGCTTACCTCCCTCTGTCCCCTGTTTTTTATTATGGGTGAGTTTCTTTGCAGCAAATGTTCAGCAACTGGGAGTAGAGGTTCTGGTGAGACCTTTTGAATGCCAGCACCTTCAGGATGCTACATTCAAAGTCCCCACAGTTTAAATGTCTCTCTCTCTCTCTTTTTTTTTTTTTTTTTTTTTTTTTTGATCGGAAATCCTGAAAAACTGTTGGGGTCTTTCATTTAAGAAAAATCCCACATCCCACACATTGACTCTCTGCAGGTCCCTGTCCAATGACATCTGAAGCAAGCTAGGTTTCAGTTGTTTCTTTTTTGCAATGTCAAACCTAAGTCCATCTACTTTCTCTGGTACTGAAGAATTGCTACTCAGAGCGTAGTACCAGAATGCATTTTAGCAGACTTGCATGTTTTAAAGACTTTGGAAGGATTGTCCCCCAGTAAGGTCTGAGTGAATGGAGCATTTTTCCTCCTTGGTAATACATGATCACTTTTTTTTAGGTTTGGGTTGAGGGTTTTTTGGTGGGTGGTTTTTTGGTTTGCTTGGTTGATTTTTTTTTTAAGAGGAGTAGGGAGAGTTGACCATTGTACATAGGAGACATGGTATTGATTGCTAAAGAAGGTAAATCGACATATATTTCCTGTATTTTCCTATATTTATGCTGTTGGTATGGGAATACATGTGCAAATCTGACAGAAGTTCTGGGTTAAGATTTTCCAATCTCATGCATGTGTGACTCATGTACCATGACTGGAATATTTATATGACCAGCATCTGAAAACAGTTAGTTGATGTCTAGGACAATTTTTCTTCTCCCTCATCTGTTTTTCCCCCACATTTTATATTTGTTTCTTTTAGAAAGCATTTTTATACTGTCATAGCCCTTTACTAACTAAATAAGACTGTATTCTTTTATAAAACTTGTAAAAAATTTTTTTAAAAAAGTAGACTGTAAAACACAAGGGAATCAGGAGCAATTATTTTGTTTGACCCTATGCTGTTTCGAGTCTAGCATTAGCAGTGATTCCTTCCAAAGAACGTTCAGTGGCTTGGTGTAAGCCTTTGTAAAGTAGTGGATATTTCCCCAACAAGAGGGTGGGGAAAAACAGAAGTAATTGGCAGTTAAACAAGATGTGAAAAACCGTGCTTATAACCTGCAAGCAGTGGTAAAGAAATTGTCTGCAGGCTTAAGTTTGAAATGCTTTAGAAATTGTTGATGTATTTTACTTGATACGTGTAAGTTATACTTGTTTGTGAAATGCAATAGAAACTTTGAGCTGGACAGATGCACGATTAACTAGGTACAGCACTTGAAAATTAACTTTTCAAACTATATTGTGAAGATGAACTCATTTTAAGATTTTCTTCATTGATCAGTGATCTCTAAAAATGACAAAAAATGTTTTAATTTGAATGCATGAGTCCTTCTTGACAATAGAATGTCTTTATAATTGTGTGTTTAAGTTGTCTATGGTAAAAATTTTACCACATTGGAACAGGAATGACCAAAAGAAGACCAAAGTAAAGAAGAAAACAAGCAATCCACAGTTTAACGAAACGTTTTATTTTGAGGTAACTTTTTGTGTGGTATTCTGCCTGTTTATTTTATGCAACCCTTCCAATATTTTTAAGCAAGCTGCATAGCAGTACCTAACACAGAAAGCTCTCTTCAAGCAAATTGAAGAGCTTTTACTAGCCTCACAAATGCAAGTGAATGACATACTTAAATTTCTGGGAGCTGCCAGACAATAGCATTCCCCTTCAATTGCTTTGTGAAAAATTATTTCCTCACAAGCACATATGTGAAGGTAATTTGTTATCTGGAATCACTTCATATAGCATCTGTTGCTATTGGAGAAGTTCTGACAGAACTTTGACCTATCCTGTGGAATTCAGTTGAAATATTTTCAAGAATATTGAGCTGGAAAAACTCCCAACTTATTTCTTTAATAAAACGATGTAGCGATCATACCAAATAAAGGCTAATTTTATTATTTTATTTTAAAATGTTAACTTTTTGTTATTTAGGATTTGAATTCAATTCTACATGAGTTACCCTACAATAACCAAATTATGAGTTTGAATTTTCATCTGATTTGTTTCTGTAATAACACCTACATTTGCATGTAAGCATACTATACTGTTGTTAGAAGTAGTAAAACTATTACGTGTGCCTCAGATGTATTATAATTTACTGTGTTTATACAGATCCTGATCCTGCTGTGGGGCTTCAGTGAGAAATAGTTCCATACTTATGTATAAAGTAGGAATGTATGGCATGTGTTTCACTTGATCTGCTCAAGATAACGAGTGTAATTGCTTAGGAAGTAAGATACCAGGATAAAAATGTGATTCGCATCACTCCAGTAACTTTATGACGTAGGATTTATTGAAGTTAAACTGAGAATGCAATCAGTTAAGAAATGAGGAAAATTAAAATTAGAGGTTACAATTGTGGTATAACTAGGGCAAGAAGAGTGGACTACTTCTTGTTTGTTGTTTCCTTAAACATCTCAGAACTAACTTTAATGCTTTCTTGGGGCTCATGCTGAAACCAAAGAAATTCTTGCCAATCTCACATTACACATCCTTCTTGTTTGTCCTAATAGAGCTATACTATAATTCCCTTAGATAGCAGCTAGCCCTCATCAGGCTCCACCATGAACCCTTCTTGACCCATTTTTCACCTGCTTTCTGTCAAAAGGCAGTTTGTTTGGTGAATTGAACTTTTTTTCCTTTTTAAAAGGAACAGTAACTAATTACCAATGTTAGAGGCAGGGTTTTCTTTGTTTTTTGACATCCTTAATACAACATTAAAAAGTGTGTTAATAGGAGGAATTTACTTGCAGGTAACGAGGTCCAGCAGTTACACCAAAAAGTCCCAGTTTCAGGTGGAAGAAGAAGATATTGAGAAACTAGAAGTCAGGTAAGTTATGTAGATTAGACAGTGATTTATTTTGTCATTAATAAATCATAATATTTTATCATCAAGACAATAAAGAAATGTTTTATTTTAGTGTAACTCCAGAGAATTACTGGCTAGACTTGTAGAAAAGTTCCTTCTAACATACAAAATCATTGTATGTTTCAGTATGAAGTATGTTTCTTACTGAAGGCGAGTTAGTTTGTTTTTAAGTGAATAGTGGTAGAGTATATCTAGCAGTCTGTGAGTACAGAGATGTGAGGACCTCCTATCAATATGTATTAGTTTGGGCAGAGTATTGATAATAGAACTTGTACTGAAGGATAATAGCATACCTGATACTAGTCTGTAGTTTCAAATGTAGTTGGCTGTTTTGTTAAAACCAGAAGGAAAAGCCGCTTTCATGAGATTCTTACAATTTTGCACTGCTTCTTGGAGGAACATTGGTGTTGCATCTTTTCCTTGCAAATCCAAAGAATACTTCAAAGTGTGTTCCGCTTTTCTGCTCCTTTCTCCTTAGAGCAAGTCTGTCTGCTATTTAGTTAGAACAGTTGAGAGCCCCTGAACTCAGTTTCTTTTCTTTATTGTGCTCATGCACATACATGCACCAAATCTGCTGAATGAGAGAAAGTCTTCAAGGCTAGCTATGTTTCCTAACAGGCATCAGAAGGAGACTTTAGTGGTTAGTTTTAATAGCCATTATAGAAGTAACTTGGTATGTGCGTTTTGAACTTCATTTTTAGCTTCACAAGTATCTTAATTAGAATTGTATATTTCATTATAGATGCAAATGTATTTAGAAAAATAGTCATGCCCCAACAAATCTAGTATTAATTGTTTTTGTTCTTCTTAACAACTGCTGTCTGTCAGAAATGTCAGAGAGGTAAGAAGTAATAGAAAAACCCCAAGGTGCATGTCCGGAGTCTGATTCCTTTTGAGGTTGTAAGCATACGAGCTGCTGTTTGGAAAAACAAGCGCATGTGTTGGTGTGGCATTGCAGTGTGCCAAATTCTAGCAATTAGATAGGGTTATGTAAATATATCAGTTTAAAAGTTCACTTGACCTGAGAAGAAATGTGCACAGTTTTGGGGGTGGAGACTGCTCAGAATATGTATATGTTGCCAGTATCACTTTTATTTACTGATGCAAGGTCTGCGAGTCTAACTTTCACTGTTTGTTTCTTTATCTGTTCTTTATGGGTTAATAAGCCACTTGTTTGATTCTTCTTGATTTAATTAGAATGAAGTGAAATTTCTAACATTTTCTGCCTGCATGCATGTGGATTAGTGCTGTGAGGCAGTTTCTGTTAACTTGAAGTTTTTTATTTTTCTCTGGGACAAAAAAAATTAAGCAATGTTCTTATTTTCAGGGTTGATCTATGGAATAATGGAAATTTGGTGCAAGACATCTTTCTAGGAGAAATTAAAGTTCCTGTGAAGGTGTTAAGAAATGATTCTTTTCAAGCATGGTGAGAAATGGTGGCTCAGAAGTGAATTTTCTTGTATCTTGCAGATCTTCCCTTGCAAAGGATGTTTTATTCTAACTATACATAAAAATATGCCTTCCTCTTCCAGTCTAGGCAAAACATCTTTCTAGAGAGTTTCCTTGCTCAATAAATTAACCTTGCTAGAGGGTACATTTAGCTCTTCTCTTCCCCCAGTCTGCCCGCTCCCACAGTATACTTAATGTGTTTGAGGGGAAAGTGTGGAGTGTGAAGGAAGCGTAACTATTTTTCAGTCAGCTTGCTGGATTTTAGTGGTCAGCCTAACCAGAAAACTTGGAACTTCTCAGAATTGCATCAGTTGTAATTAAAATTCCTAAGTCAGACTTTCAGAATGCTGGATGAAGAGTTTATTTAAAAATAATCATTAGATACGGTTTGTTTTGGTTTTTTTTCCCCTTCCTTGGGGAGGTTCAGAAAGTATCTTCTGGAACCAACCCAATGTCATTTCAGGGGAGCAGGCACAGAAGTTTAAAAGATGGAAGGATAAGGTATGAAGGGAATTCAGGAAAGACAGACCTCTGCTTACAGCATAGCAGCAACCTCCCTTCTGTAGGTCTTCCAAGCAGGAGCCAGTCCCTAGGCCCCTTACTGTCCCAAATACTTAGTGGCAGGAAGTGATGAGTACAACAGATTCGAATGCCTCAAAGTGTGTAGAATATTCTGCTTTTTGAGAACCTTTGAGTACAGAGAAGAAGAGTGGAGGAGGCCCTCACATATCCACATAGGAACTGACTGGAACACAGATCTTGGCCAGGAACCATTATGACTCTGCTCCATGTACCCACCTCAGATGCCAAGTGTCTTGGATGTCTCAAAGTTGAACTCTGATTCTTAGTCTTAGTGTTTGAGTGAGATCCTAAACATCATAAATGTTTGTGTCAGTATTTTCTATTTTTTACACAGTGTATTGCAGACACAAGCTTGTTCTGCCAGTGCTCTGAACTGATCAAAAGCTGAATGACTGTATTAACATAATGACATGCCACCATTAACAGCTTGCTAAGAGATAGGTTATGTTGGCATGGACTCATTACTAGTGTATTGTGTTTGTATAGCTTTTTGAATTGACCTGACTTGTGTCCAGTTCACTTGAAGCTTCATTAGAGATTTGTGTCTGCTAATATACTTTGTAGGCATACCTTGTACTGAACATCCTTATAACCGGTTATGATCTGCCTATCAAAAAACAGTTCTGTGATTAAAAAACCTAATCTTTTATACGATTACTAATTTACATAAAATGTTTTTGAATACAGCTGAAGTACAGCAGGTAAAACAGTATCACTAGTACTAAATATTGGGAAAATAAGCCTAAGAGTGATGCTGTCAAGTAGAGGTTCTCTTTGTAAATCAGTTTTACTTTATATTAGCGTGCCTTCGTGGGCCATGCATCTCATTAGTAAAAAGAGTCTGATCTCCTGATTGTAGAAGTACAAATATAAATGATTGTAAAAGAATATTTGGAGATGTGATTTCAGTTTTTTGGGCTGGATGTTGAAACTGCTATGACACTACTTAAAAGCAGTTACACTTTTTGTAGGGCTGCACCACCTGTTGGAATACAGTTGAATTACAGCAAAAGCCGATAAAGAATTGCTTAATATATTTCATACTGAGAGTAGGAAAAAAAGCACAATTTTTTTTTTTTCTCCACTTTAATCTTACTTGTTTCTCAGGAATGCAGTCTGTTAATATTACGTATTTTTACTGGTTTCAGACTACAGCATTTAAATTCTTGACATTAGCTGTTCCATCTGCAATGTCCAACACCTAAATATAACCTAGGTGTAAAATGTGAAGGTCCAACGTAATTTCTAACTATTCCTGCTATCTCAGTTGACCTACAAGAAGTATATCCTATTTCACTGTTCAGAAAGATATGATAAATGTTTCATTATGTGCTAAAGGTGTATCAAATGCTGCTTCTTTTTTTTTCTTTTGTGTCTCAGGGTTTTTTATGTGAATTTTATTGCTGGTTTTCAGACTCAGTTTATGTATACTGAAATAATTAAATATGATACTTTGCTTTATTATAGAATTAGTCAAATTAATGAAATGTGAGACTAATCTTTTAGAATTGCCCTGTTGCTTTCAGGTACTTACTTCAACCAAGAGAAAATGGAAACAAGTCGTCTAAAACTGATGACTTAGGGTCACTTAGATTAAATATATGTTATACTGAAGACTGTGTCCTTCCGTCTGAATACTACACTTCTCTAAGAAACTTGCTGCTAAAATCATCAGATGTTCAGGTACTGTTGAAAATTTCTTTTTAAATGAAAACTTTAAATGAATTCTGCAATCCCATATGAGACAATGTGAATTATGCATAATCTAGAAATTTTTTTTGTTCTTTTGCATGAATTACTTCTGTCACAACCAGATGAGCAGTTTGCAGAGCACTTGTGCTCCAGACGACCAAGATTCTCTTCTTATTTTAGAAGCACCAGCAGAGATAGTGAAATAACCTGTGCTGTGTGACTGGAAGAAATAAAAAAACTTTCTTCTTGGTGGTTGCTTTTTTTAACATTGTGTTTTCACACTGTCTGCTATTGCACTCCTGGATTTAGCAGTTTCCTGGGAACATTGGGCCATTATTGGCACTGAAGGGGCAGTAATTGCCTTTACCAAAAATGGTCTGCTTCGGAATTGATTTCTAATTCTACTTCTGAACTGCTTCTGTTTTCCCCAGTATGTTAATCAGCATGACAGGTTTTCTTACGTGGACATGGTGATAGAGAGGGAAGTGTGGCAGATGTTTAGCATAACATTGAGACAGGAATCAAATAACAGTAACCAGGCTTTATATTCCTAGGTTTTCTATAAGGTTTTCTTCAAGTCAGCGTTGGTGAAGTACTGGCAGAGGAGAAGAAAGGGAAGGAGGAAGCAGATTATGAATAAAATTTTTGCTAGCCCGTATTCAACTACTACTTCACTAGAATTCAGGAAGAGCTGAGTATGTAGCTAGTGGCAGTCAGCAGCTGTCTTTTTTACTTAAATCACTCGATCAGTTTTTGTGTTGAAATTCCCAACTGTAGAATGGCAACAGACACTTCAAAAGTGTGCGAACTGTATTTTAATATGTTCTGATTATACTTGTAAAAAGTCCTATAAAGTTATATGACATTATATTAAAGCAATTGCTTACTGCCTCTTACTTGGATTTGTGACAAAGCAATACACTCACCCTTTAGGGAGCATGAGAAGGGTGACAGGGTGCTGAATTTCATTCTTAAATGTCAGGTATAGCGTAGATAATACCAATTTTCAATGAAGTATTTCTGTAGAATGGAAACTTTTAATTGCCATGTTATACAGCAAATGTTGAAACTTTCTGTTAAGAAGCTATGTCTATAGTCTTGTTAGATTTCATCTGTACTTTGCCAAATACATGAAGAACATTTAACTACTTGACTCATGACTTCATATTCTGCTTTCTCACAGCCGATTTCTGCATCTGCTGCCTACATACTGAGTGAAGTTTGTCGAGACAAGTATGATGCTGTTCTGCCTCTTGTACGATTGTTGCTACACCACCATAAGCTAGTTCCGTTTGTTGCTGCAGTGGCAGAACTAGATCTGAAGGACACCCAGTATGTATTTCATGTTTAGTGCCTTTTTAAATTATTCTTAGAGTTTAAAAGGGCTTTGTGGTACACCATTGATAAGTAAGCATGTCAAATTTCTTTCTCTAATTATGTAAAACTGACTAAATACATTCATCTTCTAATGCTAGTTTATAAAAACTTGCATTAAATTTACACTGCAGCTGGGAGTCAGAGTTAATGATTGTGTGCTATTTAGTAAAATTTTCTTGGAGCTAGTATAGAGCTAAAGATAACAAGCTAGCAGTCTAGAGTTGTGTCTAAGAGCACATAGTTTTTATTTTAAAATGGAATAATTTGGCCACTCTTCAAATTTTACTGGTCATTAGATTAGTACTTAACACTTTTTAGACTGCTGAGAATCTTATCCTGTTTCCTTTAGTATGTGACTTAAATGAGGTGTACTCTTTTCCTGCAAAGATGCCTTGTAAGTAAGTACGTGTCGTCCTGCATGCCTTGAAAGTAGCAAGCACAGGAGTTTTTCCAACTAGCATTGCCTGGCCTGTGAATTTGCAGCTCTGTGGTTAGGAAAGAAATGAGGTAGACCTGAGTGGTGGCCACTGAGGTGCCGAGTCATGTCCTGTGAGGATGTGGAAGGGATTTTGTCACCACAGAATGGTTCATTCCCAGATTTAAATAAGGTGAGACAATTTAACTATGTAGAAGGAGGTGACTCATGGAAAATAAGCTTCTAAACTGCATTTTAGTACACACATTCCTTTCCGTTACAATTGAACTGTAACAAAGAAAGATTAAACCAAATCTCTCAGGTTAGAAAGATTTACTTTGCACAGCTGACTCTCAGTGTTCTTCAACAGCTGTAATAATTAAAAAGCATAACCCAAGATTAACTATGTTTTGGTTGAAGTGTCTGAGTTTATCAGTGAAGTGTAGCAGTATGCTATTTATTGTAGCTCTATGATATTTTTTTTTTCACCAGGACTACTGGAGGAAGAATTGTATATCAGTGAGGAACAAGTCTTCACTGTTTTGGAATTTTCTCCAATTGTTGTTTCTGACATTCAGCACTGGATTATAACTTCCTTTGTCTAAAACTTCTTAAGCTTTTCCTTATGGTTTTTTTTATATTCCTGGTTTTGGTAATAGCTGTAATAATATTCTTGTTTATTCTCTTTCTGTTCCTGAGTTCCATTGCAAGCTGGGTATCTAGATTCTGCAATTCCTGACTGAAATATATGAAAAAAAAAGTTTTCAAAAATTAAATAATTAATATCAGGATAAAGTATTAATTGGATTTTGTAACTGAGCTTCTTATTTTTTCCCTGTTCAAATAAAATCAATTATTTTCTTACAGAGAAGCAAACACAATCTTCAGAGGCAACTCATTAGCCACTCGGTGTGTAGATGAAATGATGAAAATAGTGGGGAAGCACTACCTAAAGGTTACTTTGAAACCTGTTATTGATGAGGTAGGTTATCCTACTGAAACTTTTTTTCAGCATGCTTAGCCCCCTGAGGTATCCTGTCTCTTTGATCTGCATTCTTTTTACAGCTTGCTGTGTGGTGGTAATCGCTGGATTACTAGAGAATTCTAGAGGAAAGTTAAATTCAGCAATAATTGTTTAAGCTTGGTGGGAGGAGCTACCTTTTGTTATTTAAGTTCAAGATGCTTGAAAACAGTCAATGACAGTTGCTTCAGCCTCTAACACATTGCAGAATTTACCCACATGATGCTTTATCTAATTAATCCATGTAAAAAGGCACACACAAAAGTGAAGATGATTATTGCATGCTGTTACGGATACTTAGAACCTATTTAAAGTTTTACCCCTCAATCTAGGACAGAATCTGGTTTTTAATTGGTGCATTTCTATGCTTTCTGTCTGAAAAATTGAACTCCTATAGTTTTGTTTGTTTCAGATATGTGAGTCTCCTAAACCCTGTGAAATAGATCCCATCAAATTAAGAGAAGGGGATAATGTAGAAATTAATATGGTGAGTTTCCTAATCTGTTTTTCCGAACTTAAACTTTCTCAAAATATGATAGAAAAACATTTTTAAAAGCAGCTCTGTTTAATGGAAAATTAGTAACTCTTGGTAGCAGTATAATTTTCTCATTCTAGAGTAAAGAAAGGAAAAGTTGTATTTTCTTATACCTGTTGATGAAAACAGCGAAGAAAAGTCCAACAGAAAATGGGATGGGGAGGAGAAACTAAACAGAAGATTACAGTCTTCCATACCAATTCATTGGTGTTGTGATTCCTGATGTTCTGTACTCAGCATCTAGAAGATGAAGTACCAGATTAGGACTGCTTTAACACTTTTCCTTGAAGTTTTGCTTGCTGCTTGTCTGTTAGATATTTAAGGCAATAGTTGCTGCAACAAGCTAAATTAACATTCACTGGGTATGCAATATCTTTTAACACTAGTAATCCTATATAGATGTTATGAGGCTTTTTAAATATGCACTGTACTAAAATACATAATTGAATAGTGAGGCAATATATTGAAAAAAGGAATTGTAGTGTTATGCTTGCATTCAGGAAAAAACCCCATTGAAATGCAAATGTTAATGGTCTGAAAAAATACCTTTTTTCATAATTGCAGGAAAATCTACGCTATTATGTAGACAAAGTATTCCGTGAAATTGTGCGGTCAAGTATAAGTTGTCCTACCCTAATGTGTGATGTTTTTTATTCTTTGAGGCATCTGGCTGCCAAAAGATTTCCAAGTAAGTGTTCTCTAAAAACTTTTGAAATTGGTATTCAGAGTGAAATACGTAACTTGTGCAGTTGCTTACAGGGATTGTTAAAATTCTTGCCTTGTCCAAAGCTGTGCCCTGAACTTCTTACCTTGACAATCAGCCATTTGTGTTTCTCTCAGTCTGTAAGTTATAGTAATGCCTTGTGGTCAATCAACAAGAATTTGTCTTTTCTGATACAAAAATGTAGCAGGTCAGAGACACCCCAAGACAGTAGCAAATAAGTCACCAACAAAAATATGAGATGATGGAAGAAAAACACAAATAATGGTGATTTAGGTGAAAGATAGATAAAAGTTGGAAGAGCTGATCTGTTTATTGCTTCTAAAGCAAGATGTAAACCTGAAAATAAATTCAGTATTTACATCTTAACTACAGGAACTGCAGCTAATGTTAACTATGACTAGGACATTCACAAATTATATGAAGTTAGCTTTACTACTTATATATAATTTTGAGGAGGGTGGATAATGTGAAGTATTTAGAGCATTTGTGATGTGACCGATATTAGAACAGTTTTATTCTTTCTGCATGGGTTTAATATAGGAATCATATCGTGGGTCTGAAATACTCTTACACTTCAGTCAATTAAAATCTGAAATGTCATATAATAAACTACAAATGAAGAATATACTTCTCATAATCTGGAGCCTTTCTCTGATTCATGTTTGTCACTGGAAATGATGCCATGAATTCCTCTAGTTAAGATGGGCCTTTCAGAATAGCTGACTTCCCAGACAGATCAGATTGAAGTGGTCATTAGAGTAAGAATGTGGTCCCACTATATTTCCCAGTATAAAGGTGTAAATATATCCAAAATATTAAATGAGAAAATCCTCATTTACAGCATCAAAATTATATAACATTATGTTTTTATGATGCAAGTCAGAATTGAAGTTACAGTTGTTCATATGTGTTGACTGCATTTGTTGTGCAGCATTCGTATATTGGAGTTGATCAGTGGTTAGCTTTATGGGTGAATAAGCCCAATATCCCTAGTGTTTAAAGGCAATGGCTACAGTATTTTCTGGTTTTGTTCAACATGCACACAGCCATACCTAATCAACACTGTGTATGTAAATGCTTGCAATAATTTCATCGTTCCTAGTAGTGGAGCTGATGAGCCAGTTGTAGGAGAACAGAACTTCTTTTCAGAGAAATAAACCCTCCATGATGAATAGAACATTTCTTACCATGATCACCTTTCTCATTTCATGCACTTCATTGATTTTTCTATTCTGTTTTAAAATGTCTCCTCTGATGTTATCTTCTTAAGGATTTTTGTTGACTGTCTTCATTATTTCCTATTGAGTTTAGTGCATGTTACATTTCATGGTTTTTCTCTGCAGATGACCCTCATGTACAGTATTCTGCAGTGAGCAGCTTTGTGTTTCTTCGTTTCTTTGCTGTAGCCGTAGTCTCACCTCATACTTTTCATTTACGACCTCACCATCCAGTAAGTTTTGTGAAGCTTTGTTCTGTTTTATTCATAGCCGTCAGATGTGTTTATCTGGGAAGGCATAAGTTACTTTCACTGGGTCTGTAAATGGGAAATAAGGTTACTAAATGTCTCTAGGTTGAGTTTTCAATTTTATACCTCACCAAAGGAACTAAGATGTTTGCAGATCTTTAAGCATCAAAGTTCTCAGTCTTTGAGGTGTTATCAAATGATGTAGAAGAGCTATTAATGTTAAAGATGCTGTGCCTTTTTTGGGAACGTGCTGCTTAGAATAGCAATGTGACTCAGGGTACTTTAAGGCATATGCCTAAACTGCATTGGTTTCTTCCACCATGGAAGTTAAATATCCAGATGTCACTTTTACTTTTAAAAAAATACTGCCATTTGTGTCTTAAACAGAGGTTGTAGAGTTACCCAGTGATTGGTCTGTTACTCCACTAGTTGCAGTGAGTTGCCAAATCTTCCATATTCAGTTTTCAAATTATCGAGTTAAATATGCATTAAAAAAAAAAAATCTTCAAAGACAGGTATATGGAGAGAAGAAAAAAAAAAGTATTATTTTCACATAAAATACAGAATATGCGTGAAATCTTCTGCTCTGGAGAAGATTTATTTATCTTTATTAGCTTACTTTATCTACTTATGTGTGTTGTGCTTTCAAAAGAAAAAAAAAATCTACTTACTTAAATTCATTCCTTTGACGTTATCCAGTTTGTTGAGTAAAAAGATTGCAGGATTTTATCACTTGAGGGTTAAACATTTTTAAAGGAACAGCAAAGCCCCTTTCTGTGGCTCTGTTTATAATCCTGTACTAAAATGCAACCAGTGAGGTAGCAAACAAATTAGGCAAAAGCCTTGAAGACAAAGTTTGAAGCTCATTTTGTATTATGAACTGTTGCTGGAGAAATGGTAGAAATTTTCATTATGTTTAGTGTTAAGTTTTGAATAGTTCAGAAGCATTAGATGTGTAGTAACAATTACAGGATTTGATGGGTTTGAGATGTTTTGTAGGTAAACATTTTTCTAAGTACTAATATTAAATTCTAGTGTTAGTGAAATATTAAACACTGTGCAGTAGCTTATAACATACACATATATTCACAAAGCACAAGTACTAATAGAGGACAATACTGCATACACACTTCTTTTTGGGTGAAGAAAGGGAATGAAGATGTCAGACTTACTACATTGTGTAATATGATAACTATTGTGACCATTTTTAAAATCAAATTTTTACCTGGAATTGTGGAAAAAAATGTGACTTCTGTATTTTGTTTCTTTATTTTAGGATGCACAGACTTCTAGAACATTAACTCTTATATCAAAAGCCATCCAGACTTTGGGGAGTTGGGGAAGTTTGACCAAAAGCAAACTTGTAAGGCTATTAAAATTCTTTCTCATTTCATAGACAACATTCTTTGAAAGTTTATTTATGTCAATATACCTTTTCTTTCAGTCCAGTTTCAAGGAGACGTTTATGTGTGAGTTTTTCAAAACATTTCAAGAAGAAAAATTTACTGAATCTGTTAAAAAGGTACCTTTCAACTAGGTTTGGGTTTGGTTTTTTTTTCTTATGGTTGATGTATTAGATCGGTCTTAATTATTAGAAGGTTGTGTTATTGTTCAGTTTTTTACTACAGGGAAAAAGAAAAATTGTCCATTTCAGACCTTTAAAAAAAATTAGAAATCCACACAATTGAATACACGAAAGTTATACATAGTGGACTAAACTAATTTAGTTTAAAAAAAAAAGAGTAGTATAATTTTTTTTGGAAAAGACCTTACTGGATCTGCTGTTTAAGAACTAGTTAAAGAAATCTTGTGTGGCTTGTGGGCATCCCTTGTTACATTGTTCCAAGTCACTGCAATATATTTTCATTTCAACTATTGCATGAAGTAATTGTTCTGTTCCAGGAGAAACTGTACATGTATGTTTTCAAAATAGTATTTAGTTGTTCTGTATTTCTGAATAGTATATATTCCCTGGTTTTTTTTCCTTAAGTTTCTAGATGATGTTTCCTCTACTGAAAGTAAAGAGCCCAGTGGTCTGAGTGAGCCTGTACATCTAAAAGAAGGGTAAACTTATCTTGAATCTATATTGTGCAAAACAGAATTGACTTGACTGTGTTTTCATTAATGCCAACATCAGATTAATGCTCATTAAAATGTTTGATATACTGTAGAAATGATGATATTTGTAATTTGTGATAATTCTTTGTTAGTTTGCAGAATTAGTTTAAACCAACAGATAGAAACTTTCATAACTCAGATCTTTTAAATACTTTGGAAAAAATAATTTAAAGCAACTTAAAACCTATTAAAGCCTGTCTGCATTTCTGTTACAATTCGGTGTGTGCTCTGTGATGGTTTATTCAGCATTGTGAAAGTGTATTTTAAAAGAATGTATTAATTTAATTTAGAATTACTTTGCATGCTGTTTAAGCCCAGGCAGCTAAGTGTTCTGCCTTTAAAGTAGGAAAAAACATTACCCTATAAATTGGAATATTTAACAGTAAATGATAGAATGCTTTCATAAAAAATGAGGTGAAAATCACTCTTAAGAAATGAACTGGGTTTGTGTTTTTTTTAATGTTGATCAAGAATAGCTGATTAATTAATTCAAACAACATTTATGGGGGAAAAATATTTCTCTTTATCTGAGAAGCAGATTTCATAGCAAGTAAAGATTCTTCTGTGAAACAAGCATCCAAGTTTCAAACTAGGAAGAAGCGTACCTCTTACTAAAATACTAAATAGGAATGAAGGAGACAATTGTAGTGGATCAACACCTAGCTATAGAAATTTGGAAGCTAATCTGTATTATAAATTGATGGCTATTGCTCAAAAAAAAAAAAAAGTTGCCAGTGAGCGCACTTAAAGTGTACTGAATACAGTTGGTGTCTACCCTTGCTATAGAGTCCTGTTCAGTGTTTTGTTTATATTCAGTGTCTGATCCAAATAAGGCCAAGCACATTCACATGTAGAAAGTGGCAGGAAAGAGAATCTTGCAGTTGGATACACCTTACTCCCTCTTGGGAAAATTTTGAGTTCTGGATCTGAATAAGTAAGTACCCACTCCAAATTTACTGCTACAAACAAGAGTTTGGATTGCATATTTTTCAAACTCCTTTCCTGTTTACGGAACCCTGTACACAATCACCATATTGGCAGGTAATCGTGAGCATCTATTTTGAACAACTAGTACTTTTTTTTTAAATCTACAATGAAGTAGATTTTTATGTTACTGCATGATGAACAATAATGTGTTACCTCAAATGGTTTTGAAAGCTCTTCAGAAGACTAATGGTTGCATTTCATTTGATTCTGTCTTTACAGAGAAATGTACAAAAGAGCTCAGGGAAGGACTCGGATTGGTAAAAAGAATTTCAAGAAGCGGTGGTTCTGTCTAACAAGTAGAGAATTCACCTACCACAAACAACAAGGTAAATCATGTTTATCTTACAATTATTTATATTTTCTCAGTATTTTCTAAGTGTTTGCATCCGATTTGTGCTTTTTAAAATGCATAATTTTTTTTCTTTCCTAAAGTACATATGATATGTTTTAGTTACCTTTGCCCTGATTACCAAATGCTTTTGAGTCATGTACATTTTCTCAATAATAAAAATGCACATTTTGAGAACTTAAGCTATAGTATTGGTGCACTGAGGTTATAAAACAGTTTTTTTAAAAACCGCTTCACTCACCTGTTTACAATTTTTTACAGATAAAGAACCAATTTTTACTATTCCAATAAAAAACATCCTTGCGGTGGAGAAACTTGATGAGAGCTCCTTCAACAAGAAAAATGTGAGTTAAAAGATAGTTCATATGTAATTCCTAATGTGTTCTTTAAGTAAAAGATTATAATTAACTTCTAGAATTACTGAAACCCTATTACTAAACAGCAAAAAATCTGTATTGGATCAGAATTTGGGTTGGATCTGAACATGGAACTTAACCTGAAGATTTGAATCTCTGCACCAGTTTTTCTGACTGATTTTTATGGCTTCTGCCTCCCTTTCCAAATTTCTGGAATGAAGGTTAAAACTACTGTGACCTTATTACAAAACATGTTGATGTAAGGTATTAGTAGTATGTATTATATTACGTTCTACTAGAAATGTAATATTACCAAACTTGTATTTATTCCTCTTGATAAGAACTTCCTGCAATACCTTCATCAGTTGTCTGTGCACACAGCTTCATTCTGGACTTGTTACACATCAGTATTTCTGTTGTTATTTCAATCCAGAATTCTGGGGCAGTGAACAAAGTACAGCTGTTACTTAGGCTGAGGATGGCTAAAGGAGACTTCTGGTAGTTACTCTTAAAACATGAAGCATGATGTCTGAGGTCACATTTAAAGATAGGTGAACGAAGAGGACAGAAAATGCATCATGTTCTAATTCTTTAAGGCTTCTTTTTTTGGATGAGAAAATGGTGTAGGCAGAACACAGGCTGTTGGGGTTTTTGTTATTTTTTGTTTGGGTTTTTTTTCCTCCTAAATAGGGCTGTGTAATAAAAATGAAAGAAGCAAAGAGTCTTCCTTTTCCCCTTGTCTCACTTTCTGTCTTAATTTGGCTTTGTTGAATTGCCTGAGCTTTGAAATCTATTTTGACATACTCAATGTTGCTCAATAACTGGATTTTTTTACTGAGCAGAAAAATGTTGCGTTCCTTCTGCAGATGTTTCAAGTACTACATGGAGAAAAGCCACTCTATATCCAAGCAAATAACTGTGTAGAAGCTAGCGAGTGGATAGAAGCTCTTTGTCGGGTAACGAGGTGCAATCCGAAGAGGCTTAGTTTTTACCATCCTTCTGCTTTTCTGAATGGGAACTGGCTTTGCTGCAAGGCTACAATAGAGAACACAGTGGGCTGTGCTCGTTGCACTGCGTAAGTTGCTTCTCAAATGAAAATACATAGGTTTTGTAGGACAAATAATGTATAATTCACTATACAACTTGCAAATCTGAAGGCAAGGCTTTTCCCTGTCTTTAGCAAGTTATGCTACTAAAAACATGTCTTGCAAGACAAATAAGGCCCAAAGTACTGGATTTTACTAAGTCTATTACTTCATCAGCCACCATATGAAATGATGGTAACCAATTCAGCATGTAAATCAGAAATATTGACTAGTTGATTTCTTTTTGTGCAGAATAATAGATGTAATAGATGTAATAGCTCAAGTTTATTCAGATGCCAAGCTGAATGCAGAAATATGACACACCTAGGTTGTCTATATGAAATAATTGAAATACCTTGCTGCAGAGGGCTCAGCCTTGAGGTCTTTCTCTTTCCAAAAAATGTCTTGTTTTATACAGTCACTTTTTTTATTTTAACCTCACATACTTTAAAACAGAGTATACTTAGAAAATCCACTAAATAATCTTGGATGTAGATTCTAACAAATCATTTGGGTTTTGTAGGTATGCCAGGAATATGAATAAGATCTTATAATTTATTAATGCCTTTCTTCAAGCTGCTGATTTCTGAAAACAAATGCATGCTCTGATTTTTTTTTTTTTTAAATAAATTTATCCTCAACTGGATAGGTTGCATAAATTACAGACTAAAGATCTTAGTCCTCTAAAATTCAGTGTAAGTCCTACAAGATAACTTTCTGAAAGTATATATAATACTTTTCCTGTGTTACTCAGTTAATTCTTAGTAGGTTTCTCAACAGTTCAAAAGATTCCCATTACTAAATAACTTTTGGTGGTTTTTCTCCTTCTGGTTACTTTTCAAGTATAATGGATTTTAAAAGAAGTGTTTTAACTGTCATTCAATAACAATTAACCTTATTTTGATATTTTCAAAATATTTTTCTTTAACAATTGTGAAGCTGCCTGAGAATGATAGACATATTAAAAGGCTAAGTATATTGAAGCAGAATCAATTTTTACTTTCAAACCTTTCAAGAATGACTTATATTGACTACCCATCTTTTTTTTTCCACCTTCTAGAGATGTTAAAAAGATTGATGGAGACAGAGAGACAGAAAGAATTTACTCACTTTTCACTATCAATATGTCTAAACTACAGAAGTTGGAAGGTACTCAAATAGTAATTCAGAAGTTATACTGGTATTATTAATCTCTGATTCTTTAGGCCCATAACACCAGTTTGATGTCTTAACAGTTTACTTGAAAATAACAGGCAGTAGAGACACAGATTATATTTTTGTTGTCTTAGCAGTCTGGTATCAGACATTCTTCAGTCATTTCTTTACAGTAGACATCAGACATGCACAGTTTTCCAATTGAATTTGCATATATGACATATCTTGAATAGTCTAAACAGAGAGACTGCAACTATAGCCAGTTGCTCTTCTGTTTTTGCTCTCCTTTTCTTGACTATGGAGTGAATTCTATTGAACATGGTTGAATTGCAAGAAAGCATTGGTCTTCTGTCAATGTGAACAGGAGAGAGCTTGGTGATCAAGATGCTGAATACAACCAGCAGAGAATAAGCCGCAGAACTGTAAATACATCTAGGTGATACTGTCCCCTGCTTTTGTCTTAAGCCATTTTATGTATAAGCTAGAGTAACTTTACATTTCAGAATTTCAGAATCACTATTTATGTAAGAGTTAGATCTGTTTTTTAATAATCAAAATTCTAATTGGGATAATTGTGGTCATTTTTGTAGAGGCTTGCGGAAGTATAGCAGTCTATCAAGGTCCACGGAAAGAGCCAGATGATTATTCTAACTTCACAATTGAAGATTCTGTAGCAACTTTTCATACACTTAAACAGATAATAGATATTGTAGAGAAGCTGAATGAATCACATGAAAAATACCGAAAGAAGAGATCATCTAGTGCTAAATATGGTAGTGAGTAAGTATCTTAAGTAATTTTGACATACATAAATGTGTACTTTTTAAAAAAAAAATCACAGAACAAGGCCACGCTTGTTGGGGTAGAGATAATTAAGCAAAAGGTAGATTTAGACAACACAAAAACATGGAGAAAATAAGGTACATCACTTGCAGTAATGCAGCTTTTCACCAGTTTATAGAAGATACAAGAAGTTCCTCTGGTGTGGGATACATCTGTGTTCCTGTAGAGATCCCCATAAGCGGGTGCAATGACTCTCTTGTTTCCTTGCCACTTAACATCTGAAGTGCACATAAAATTTTTCCCTAACTGTCTGCCTACCTCCTTTTTTTCCCCAAATTTCAAATTTCAGTTAAGAAATAATTACAATACCAAGTTACAGAAAGCTGTAAAAATCATACTGCAGAGACATATGTCATGCAGTATATTTACTGTTTGTAATTCACTTGCCATATTCAATGATAAATACTATTTCTGATGAAGTTAAAAAAAAAAAAAAAATCTGTTCTTTGGAGTATATTGTTGTTCAGAGCAGATTCTTTCAATTCTCTTCAGTCCTGGCTAATATCTATGGAACACCACTGGCAAGTTTTCTCATTTCTTCTTTGCATCAATTAGGCTTGGTTCACCAGAAAAAAAGAATGCTCAAACCCTGATTTGGTTTGCCTAGTTTAGTATTTGACCCCGGTAGTTTAGAAAAGTTGACTTTGATTTAGAGATGTCTCATGAAAGTACATGAGGTTTTCTGCAAATCGTGAAATTTCACAAGTAGTTGTAGAAATTATGCAAAAAAGAAAAGGTTTTCTTAAGAAATTAATTATATAATGATAACTAGAAAGCAAATATTAACCTTAAAAATATTTACTTATAATATTTTATTTCTTCCAGAGAAAATCCAATTGTTGGAAAAGTTTCCTAACCAAAACAAACTGTGGCAGACCTGGATGAAAAAAGAAACTGGAAATGTTCTTGAGTGTTTTGGTTTTTTATTTGTTTGTTTTTTTAAATTCATTGTATGCGTTTTTACAAAGTATTTAAGAATGAACATAAATGCTAGTTGTGTTGACAATCTATTTAATATTTAATAGAAAAATATCTACTTGGAAATCTGGTCTTAAGGTTTATTCTCATTTTGCTGAAGAACTTGGAATTTGCAGGTTCTTGAAGTAACAGATGTGAATAAATCTAAATGTTGTTTTGCCATTGTTGTCTTATTGGAAAGAACTTTCTAAACAAATAAGCTTTTTAATGGAAGAAAATCCACAGGGGATTTTTTGGTTGGATTACATCTCTCAAAACATACACTGCAAACTTGCATGAGTTTACCACGAGTGCCTGCCCTGCTGATACAGATCTTGAAATAGAAATCCCAAGATACTATGACATGGAAAAGATCTGAACCTTCACACTCAATTCATTTGACTTTTTTTCTTGTATTAGGTGTTGTCAGGACTTGATTTGTCTACAACTGAAGTCTTACAAAATCATGCAGTATGCTGCAAATAATCTGGACAGCAGAAACCAGTGTTAGTTATGTTTTTAAGTACTAAAGAAGAAGAAATCAGGGAACTTATGTTATACCTCTTGTTTACATTTGGGGTGAGTAATATATGGAGTGACATTAGACCACTATCTATTTTCTTTAGGAATTTTTAAGGTACATATTTTTTCTTAATCTAAAAAGAAAATGCAGGGTAGCCACATTCTTTTTAAATAAGTTCGGCTACAGACAGAAAAAATTAAATGTGAACAGATTGTGGTTAAGTACTGATCAATTTACATCATCCCATGTATGATTTTATTTCTTTTTTTTTTTAATAAAAAGTAATAACTAGGTCCAGCTCACCTTCTGACTACAAATCTAATAAAATAATCTCTATTATAATCACTCAAAGCACTTTAGATATCTGGACTATTCCCAGATTATTTTTAGATACTTTGTAGTATCTGCTTGTTACGATCAGTTGAATGATCAACATTGTTTTGTCTTTAAGCAATGCTTCAGTGAATATTTTTATATCTTTAGTTACATGCATTTGTATTTGCCACTTAACACAATTTTAAACTGGCATTCTTGACTTTAGTAAGATTAATTTTTGATCACTTGACCTGAGAAGTTAGGTTTATGCTGAAAGAACATGTATGTATATAACCAGGAAGAAGCAAAGGCATTACTGTGGCAACTTTGCTTCATCAGTATTAAATATAATGGTACTCCTTGGAATACTATTTTTAATAGTAACTATACGTGGTACTTTTATTTTTGGAGCGTTTGCTGTGGGATCTTTTGTTGTTGTTGGGTATTTTTTGGGTTTGGTTGTTTTTGGTTTTTTTTTTACAATCGTGATTTGGCCAAATTAATTAGGAATGTAATTTACAAATAGAATAGAAATCCACAATGCTTGAAACTGTAAGCTGTTTAAATTACTATACATTTATTTTACTGTTATAGGGAGGCTTTCTGTAATAGAAGCAAGTTGGCAAGACAGGATTGAAATCTCTTTTGCAATGACTGTAACTTGTTAGAATAACTATTTGGTTTAATACTAGACAAACTATTTTAGAATATCTGAGATTCAGTACTAGTATCTGCAATGTCACAATCATTTAATCACCTCAACTGTTTTTTGCCTTTTTCTTTTTTACACATTTGATGTATTCGAAGGGACTTTTATTTGCCAACAGATTAAATTGAGGGGGGGGGGGGGGGTTAAATAAATCCCAAAAAT